AAGTTACTATATGCCTCTACAGTAGCACTGCCTAATATAGATACTGTAACTACTGTACATAGGTACTATCCTAGGCGCCTACAACGCCTACAACGCCTGTTCACCTATAGCTCTCTAATGGCCGGATCAAAAAGAACGTCGGAAGAGCTGTGGGGCATAGTATACCAGACCCGTAGTAAGTTACAGGTGTTGTAGGCGTTGTAGGCGCCTAGGATAGTACCTATGTACAGTAGTTACAGTATCTATATTAGGCAGTGCTACTGTAGAGGCATATAGTAACTTAAGACGTACGAGTAATAGGAAATAGTCTTGGGGCCGTTTCCACGAAATAAGCACCCTAGGACGCGAAATAACGTCTGCCTACTGTAGCAAGTTCAAGAGAACAAGATAGCGGAGAAGAACAACTGTGATTCAACTTCATCCCTATATTGCCGGTATTATGGCCGTCTAGGAACAGGATACCCAGCCTGCCCGGGCCGACTCTGCCCGCCAAAGCGGATGCCCACGTCTGGAGTCCACACGCCTCCTCCGCCGATCGTCCCGCCTGCCACACCGCTCAAGGGCAACGGGGTGGTGGAGGACGATGATGTAGACGGCAAGCCTACTGCTTCTCCAGATTCTGGAGGGACGATGTTTCGGGTAGGAATGGGAGCGGCTAATGTTTCTTGTTGTTGGAGTGGAGCGTGGGGGTGGTCTGCTCGACTTTGTTGAGCTTGTTGAGCCTGAGCTTGGGCATAAGCCTGGATCGTGTATTGCCGAGGCTGAGGCTGCTGTTGTTCTTGCAGCTGCTGTTCTTGTTGAGCATGGCGAACACTACTTCTCGTTTGCCTTTGTTGCTGCTGCGCCTGACTCTGGCCAGTCAAGTCACGCCTGGTCTCCTCAAGGTTCAGTCGACCAAGATCCTGTCCTGCCAACTCGGCCTCGAGTTGACTAGCTTCGACCCTTCGTTGGGTGACTTGGGACTTGCAGTTGTCCCGAAATCGCGTAACATGGCCAGCGAGGTCGTTGTAGAATTTCCGCCCGGTATCCAGGTTGCTGATGAGCTCTTTATACTTTGCGTACCCTGTCTCGAGGGCCTGAAGTGAATTTTGTCGGGATTTCACGGTCGAGTCGTCCCGTCGAGCCTCCACAAACGCCTTGTTCGCTTCCCTCAAACGAGCCACAACTTGGTCTTGCTCTTCTTGCTCGGCCTCCAACGCCTGCCGGTCTGGCTCGTACGCTGCAAGACGTTCTTCGAACAGCTTCTCGAACTGGCCCGGCTCAATCTTTTGCATCGGGTATTCACGCTCGAGACGCGCTGCTTCGGAGAGTAAAGCTGGGCCGATGTCGTCTGCCTTGACTTTTTCTCTCAGAGCGTTGATGCGATTTTTCCTCCGCGTCTCCAACCTTGACACTTCGTTGAGACAATTCCGCAGCCGCGATACGGCCTCTTCAATGGGAACGGTCATGTGCACTTGAGTGGATTTTGGTACATGCCGCTCCAGCTCTTCGGTCGGGCCTGTCAGTAGGCGGAGAACGTGCTCGTTTTCCCGAAACTTGGCTTGGACCAGATTATCGCTTGACGCTGCAGAGTTCAGATATTTTTGCAATTCCTGTGACGTCTGGTATAGTTTGGCCAAAACCTCAGTTGAGGGTGGTCGATTCCATCTATCGGTGCCGTACTTTTCCCGTAGTCGGTCGTCCTCGGCCTTTTCAGCCTCCAGCAGTGCAACGCCTTCTTGGTAAATAGCCAGGTCGTTCGTTTTGAGCTTGTTGGTGTCGTCAATCGCTCTTTTGATTCGATACAAAGCGTCCTGTTGTCGAAGTTCTTCCGCCTTGGACAGTAAACTCCCAGGCAGTCCCCATGGTTTCTCTATGGCCTGTAACGAGCCTGGTAGGTCAAGCGATTGTAGCACTTCTCGCAATTTGGCAGTCATGGCTTCTAAATCTGCAATGATCGATTGGTTGACGAGCCGGTCCCTCCGATCAGCATAGATGGATGCGGCTTGGTGGACGGCATAAGGGACGAGCTTCTCGAATAGTGGTCTGCCAAAAGGCCGTCCTTCGCCCAGCAGCGAGATACCATTGGCGACATCCGAGGGTGTTTTGGCTGCCACCATGTTTGTTCGGTCTAGGAGTCGAAGTTCGGACTTGGGTGTCGGTGCTTGAAGGTAGATCATGTCGTTGTCCCGTTCGGCCCTTTTCAACTCTTCGCTAACCCGAGCTTTCAACCCATTAAGATCCCCCAGGACGGTGGGGTTGATCCATCTGGCCTCTTGCAACCCCTCGTTCACACAATTAATGCTATCTCGCAGCCGGGCAACCTCCTCGCCGTACTGTTTGTTCTGCAGGCAATAGCGAGACTGTCTGAACTGGGCGGCAGCCGCAAAGTGGTGATGTTTGGCCTGGAAGTGATGGATCCACTCGGCGCTGATGGCTCTGGATTGTCGAGCCGCATCTGCCGCAAGAATGTAATAATCCGACACTTTTGCTGCCAGCTTCGCCACCGTGCCATCCGACATGTTCTTTTTGATTGTGATTTGCCAGAAAGATTCTTGCGCCTGAGCCAGACATAGCTGTTGTAAACTGTCCAACGTTATGTCGTCCATATCCTCTGGCGGCGTCGACCGCATGTCCGGTAGGACCTCTGTACGCATGAAGGAAAAGGTCCCCGCTGCAGCAACCAGATACTCGGCGGCGGCTTTGAGTCCTTCTATCGTCGTGCGGTTCGTCCCGAATGCAAGTTGCGAGTACAGCGCCGCCAGGTTGAACAGGATGTTGGCCAGCTCGAATCGCAGGTTGTTCTGTATCACCGGCTTGTCCTTGTCGTATCCCAGCGCCGGGTACCATGGGAAGTCCACGCCAATGTCAATGGGGAACTTTCCACCGAGATACCGTAGTTGAGCGGCATACTGGGCTAAGCATCTGATCCCGCTGACATGCGGCTCTTGCACGGTTATAGCGTCGTCTCGAAGCCCGTCAATCTCCCGCAGATCATCTGCGAACATGGCCGGGGATTGATCATATTTGCTAGAGATGTATTGTTTGATCGCTGAGGAGAGGTCGACTGTGTGAGTGCGCCGGAATGGGATCTCGAGTATGTTTCTGGCCATGTTAGCAAATGATTTTACATCTTACAAATGGCAAACTTACGAAGCCATGTCATAGTAGGTTAATGTGAATTACGAACAGGCCGGCAGACTGGCACCGTCGAGCGTGAACGCGGATACAACTGCACTGTCAGGCTGCGGTGCACTACGGTGTTGTACTATCTACCTATAGTATTATTATTGTAACTTGTATGGTGTGTTTCTACTGGCTGCCTCTTCCCTCTTCAGCCTTGCGTGACGTCAAATGCCCGCGAAATAATTGCTAGGTCACGTGGGATTTCCCTCTCAGCCATGTCCATTTTGGGTCTCATATAATTTACACCAAACACTTGCACGTCAACGAGGAGCCTACACGAACATGAACACGAACAAACAAAGTCCTAGAGGTTGTGGAATTACTTGTATTGCAGGTCACACCAAACCCGTGCGATCATGATATCTAGCAATGCTGATTCCATGGCTTTTCGAATATGCTGACCTTCAATACGCAGCAAAACACTGACGACCGAAGGCCATCAGCACAAATCCACTGTCAACTTCAAGACATCTATTTCTTGGAAGTCGCCTTCGCTGCGGCCTTGGTCACTTTACCACCTCCCTTGTCCGACTATAGAGGTTGTTAGTATATGTAAACATGTATCACATCACCCTCCCTCCCCCGGAGAGGGGTGTGAGAGGGGGATTGGATTCGGGGGGGACATACCTTGACAACGGACTTGATGACACCGACAGCGACGGTCTGACGCATGTCACGGACAGCGAAACGACCCAGAGGAGGATAGTCGGTGAAAGCCTCGACACACATGGGCTTGCTGGGAATCATCTTGACGATGGCAGCATCACCAGACTTGATGAACTTGGGGTTGTTCTCGATGGACTTTCCGGTACGACGGTCGATCTTCTCGAGCAACTCGGCGAACTTGCAAGCAATGTGGGCAGTGTGGCAATCCAAGACTGGAGCGTAGCCGGCACCGATCTGACCAGGGTGGTTGAGGACAATGACCTGGGCGTTGAAGGACTCGGCACCCTTGGGCGGGTCGTTCTTGGAGTCACCGGCAACGTTACCACGACGAACCTCCTTGACGGAGACGTTCTTGACGTTGAAGCCAACGTTGTCACCTGGCAGACCCTCGGCGAGCTGCTCGTGGTGCATTTCGACGGACTTGACTTCAGTGGTGACGTTGGCCGGAGCGAAGGTGACGACCATACCGGCCTTGATGGTACCGGTCTCGACACGACCGACAGGAACCGTTCCGATACCAGAGATCTTGTAGACATCCTGGAGAGGGAGACGGAGAGGCTTGTCGGTGGGACGGGTGGGTGGGTCGATGGCGTCAATGGCCTCGAGGAGGGTCTTGCCGGTGGCCTTGCCAGCCTTGGACTCCTTCTCCCATCCCTTGTACCACGGGCAGTTGGTGGAGACCTCAATCATGTTGTCACCGTTGAAGCCGGAGATGGGGACGAAAGGAACGGCCTTGGGGTTGTAGCCGACCTTCTTGATGAAGTTGGAAGTCTCCTTGATGATTTCGTTGAAACGCTCCTCGGACCACTTGGTGGTGTCCATCTTGTTGATGGCGACGATGAGCTGCTTGACACCCAAGGTGTAGGCGAGCAGAGCGTGCTCACGGGTCTGACCATCCTTGGAGATACCGGCTTCGAATTCACCGGTACCGGCGGCAATGATCAAGATGGCGCAGTCGGCCTGCGAGGTACCAGTGATCATGTTCTTGATAAAGTCACGATGACCCGGGGCGTCGATGACGGTGACATAGTACTTGGGGGTCTCGAACTTCCAGAGGGCGATATCGATGGTGATACCACGCTCACGCTCGGCCTTCAACTTGTCCAAAACCCAGGCATACTTGAAAGAACCCTTGCCCAACTCGGCAGCTTCCTGTAAAATATTGTCAGCAGACCGCCTTTTCAAGTTGGATATATCACGTGAGGGGTGAGATACCCCTCCCCCACCAAAAAATTTCGATGGGAGCAGAACGGTGGTAGGGCCATGATGACCGAAATAAAAAAAATGGGATTCACATACCTTCTCGAACTTCTCAATAGTACGCTTGTCGATACCACCGCACTTGTAGATCAAGTGGCCTAATGTTTCGTGAGTGTGATGTTGTGATTTGGGATGTTCAGCTTCCTCTTACCAGTGGTGGTGGACTTGCCGGAATCGACGTGTCCGATAACGACGACGTTGATATGAGTCTTTTCCTTACTATAGAGCGGGTAGACATGTCAGCGATATTCGTTGATATCAAATGTTTGCGCAAGGCTGCAACCCCTGACAGGGTCGCGCCTTCCCTGCGCGGATTCGATTTGCTTACCCCATAGTGACGGTTGTTTTGAATTGAGGTTTGAAGTCTTGTAGTTCTGTGGCAGATACTAGAAGAATTCAGAGAAATGCTCAGATACCACGGCTTGCGTAGAGGTGCTGAGACGTTGTTAGTTTTGATGGTTAAAGTGTAGGGTGCGGATGAAGAACTTACTGAGCGACGAAGGAGGATAGAACGTCAGTTGGAGGAAAGTGCGACAGATTTTGTAGGCTGCGACCAGAGATAAGGCTTGGCGCTTTGGGCACGGGTGGCAGTGAATCATCGCCTCACCGCAGTCTGTGGCACAAAAATGTCAGTGTACGGTACGGGTACACTGCAGTTTTCGCGGCCACTGTCGTTGAGTCTTTGGTGACCTTGCCGCCCCCAAAGCCCCACCAACCGCTGTACTCCCTGGTAAGATGACACGCTACCGGACGTGCTACTATCATTCCTGCCCACCAGTTCCAGCTCGTTGCTGGTCAACTCCGTCGCCTGCTCATCCGTCATTGGAGGGGCAGATGCCACTCAGGCTCAGGCCAGAACTGCTCGATCTGCACCCGAAAGCCTGTGACATTTGCCTCTGGCCAGCTACACCAATGGGAATCCTCAGATGCCTGACCGGCTTAAAATTTTGTTCTCGAGGTTGTTCGTAGTTGTGGCGACGCATATACAACATCCACCCACGTAGAAACTACTGGCATGATTTTTCGAAAGTTCTTCAAGTTTGCCCCTTTGGTCCGAATGGGATCATCTTCACGACCGCATGGCTATCTAGATTTATCCCGAGTAGCAGGACTGGCGGTTTTGACAGTTCTTGCTCTCTAATTTGCAGACAATCACCGTCTACCACTGCGCATCCATCTTGATTTACTCGTCGAGCAAATCTTTGGATGCGTCCCTGCCAGTGTTGACACGTGTTGACGGTCTTCGGTCTGATGTCACCCGATGCGACGGGGCACGTGGGCATTAGGTATGCTAACCACTACACTGCATCAATCAGGCCATCTTTTTCCTATCGGGATACTGCTAGCCTGACTGTTTGAGTCATTTTAAGCATAAAATGGCCACCATCTAATAGCAGAGTGTCAAAGACTGCCAGTGCTGTTGGTGACTCTCGACCTCCGTAACCGCGCCCCTCCATCTTTCGCCCGAGGTTTGTTCAGTATGACTCTTCAAGAGCCATCTTTTGACTGGGCAATGCGGAGGGTGGTGGCCTAATATATGCGCCTCCAGGGTGTGATTCTGAGCAAGACGGATTTGCAACGCTGCTGCTCTATTTGCCGGTGCGAAACAGGCAGTCCATCTGGTGGGCCGCTAGAAGGGATGTGTGCTTTTGGAAAAGGGCATAGAGTGTCGATTCAGTATTCTCTCCATTGTTTGCCGCATTCAACACACTGTAGAGAGCGGTCAGTCCAACTGCCAAAGACTCGTCTGGGACGATGGACGTACCTTGAAGAACGAAGTCGGCGGCTCGTCTGCGCTTCTTGTCTGTAGTTGATAGAAATATGCCTTATTCGAATCGCACTTTTCGTTCGGACAACCTCCAGGCACTGCCATCGCAGTTAGTCCAGCCACAAGGGTCATTTTTTCTTGCTGATACGCTCGTACCTTCGTTAACCGGCAGATCAGACTCATCCTCGCCCATGATATCATCTTTTTGTTTCTTTTTCATGTATGTGCGCTCGTAATACGGCTGATCGAGGACAAATTGGTAGGGACATGTTCGGCAGGTGAAGGCATTCAAGCCCTGAGGATGTTGATGTGTGCCAGGTGCCCGCGCAATCGTTAGACAGTTGCAGCAGTAAGGGCAGACTGCCGTGCATTGTCAGCAAGGATTTTGGCCGGTTGTCTTCGATACTCACATGTCGGAGGCATCGCGAAGAGCGAAGCAGACGCTCTACGCAAGGAGTAGACGCTGCTCTTGACAACAACACAGCGAGTCGAGAAAGCACATTAAACACTCCCACTGGCAGTCTGCAAAAAGTCGCAGGGATCTCCGCGCAAGAGGCCTGCATGTGCTTGCACAAATGATTCGCCGTACCGCATAAGGCCCACTTGTACTAGCCGCATGCGAAGTCGAGGTTCATTCTCCACGCACGCCGGGTTGTCTTCTCGATGTAGATTTCCAAAAAGTCAAAAGTAGCGCGATTCGAACGCGGCTCCTAGAATTCACAGCGGGAAACTCTGTTTAAATTGTTTTTGTTGATAGCAGCTGTGTCTTCCGCGAGAAGGGGTCTACAGCCTCGTGGCCGCAACTCCGACAAGGCTGAGGCCACGCAGGGTCCACAGACTTGCATGGGCGGCGGCCCGGGCAAGGCGGCCTTGGCAAGTTTGGGATCTGGCAACGTGAATCGGAAGGCGCAGCAAGGGGGGCTACGCCGTGCCTGCAGTTTACAAGTGTACTACTTCTGGGACAGCTCGTAGTACTGCTAGCAACTGCCAGTGTAGAAAGACATCATCATATCCGAAAGCGCTTCGAACCACGTCCTTTTCACTCCAGGTGTCTCGAGGAACCCAGCTGCCGTCGTCACTGTCCGCAATTATTAGCCATCCTACCGCCCTGACCTCATCTCAAAGCGCCTGATTACTTCCTTCAGTTTCCCGCATCGCAGCAAAGTGTCCGGTCTACTTTTGGTAGTACCTTGATATACGATCACACACCTTCAACTACTGCTGGTTCTACCGCTCGAGTACAAACTTTCACTCCATAACCGCACCACTTCGACAAGCTACAGGATGGCTGACGCCGACGTGAGTGTTTGCCAATGGGCCCTTGAGCGCAACTGGTCTGACCTGTATTCAGGGTGCGTCACCCAAGGAGCAAGTCCTGGAAGCCTGCCGTCGAGACAATCTCGAGTTATTCCGCCAAGTACTGGACGAGATGAAAGCCAAGAGCAATGAGGAGATAGCAGAATTCTTCAATACCGTGACGGACACCTTGGGCAACCACCTGCTGCATGTGTGTGCCAATTACGGAGCATGTAAGTGGACGGCCGCCCCGGGGTGAGAATCTACATTGGTGTGGACTTCTGAGCTGACGATAATCTCCCAAAGATGACGTTATGGACGCGCTGCTCGACATCGAATACTTGGAGTGTGATCCGCTTACAAGAAGGGACAAAGAAACGCCCATCCACTGCGCGGTCCGTTTTGCCAACGAACGAGATGTCGCACTTGGCGGGGCCATGGCTCAGATGTTGATTGACGCTGGAGGCGACCCAAGAGTCAAAGACAAACATGGCAGGAAGCCTGCGGAAATATGCACTCCTCGCACAGAGGAACTCCGTAACATTCTCATCAAGGAAGAATATGCTCTGAACGAGGGGCTCAAGCATGCCGACGCTCGTCTGGACGACGATGAAGCTGATGCCGGCTCCGCGTCGGACTCAGAATGATTACAATACTTCAGCGCCACGGCCAGAGTCTTTTTATTCTTGCCATTTTGATCAAGGTGCTAGCTCAGACATAGCAGGGCTTTCTACCGCCGCAAACATATATTTGCGAGCCGCCTCTGCTAGGCGCACCGAGATCCACGGATAGCAACATTATGAATCAGCCTGCACTCTGACAGGCTAAGCATGCGCACCCTGACAGACAGTGCTAAAGAGGCTCCTACTGCCCTGTCCAGGCACCGGGTGGTAGAGACGCACGACGAGCCAGCGGGGAAAAGCCGTAACCAAATATGGTCCGTCTCGCCATATGACACAAGCTTGAACACGAAGACACCAGAAGGATGAGACAATGACATGACAAAATTTGTACAATGATCAATATAAACTATGATGCGGCATGATATCAACTAAGCCTGAGTTTGGGCGTCTTCCCAATCCGCCTTTTCTTTGGCCTTGATGGTCGCCCTCCACGATAGGATGAGCCATATGGCGAGCAGCACGCCCAATCCGTCAAGGCCGATTCCCAAGTACCAGGCCCCGCGATAGCCCTTCAGCTCATTCGCACCGCCCGAGTTGACGTGAACCTCGACCGTTCCCGCCATGCCCAAGCCGATGGAGATACTGTAGTTGACGACTGTGTTGATCAGTGACGCTGCGAGACCTTGGTGCTCGGGCGGCATGTGGTTCGAGAGAACAATGACGCCACTGGGGAAGCTCATATCCATGCCCCAGCAGGTAACGATCAAGGACACAAAGGCCTGTGCCCAGTAAGTCTGTTTCACTGGCATGGTTGCCAGTAGTATCGTGCCCACCAGAAAGGCGAGCATACTGGCCAGCATGATCCATCCAGGCTGCATAATAGCGATCAGACGGCCGGTTACGATTGCTGCGATGGCGCCCGAGATGGCGGTAGGGACGATCTGAGCTGCCGTCAACAGCACGGTTTGACCGCGTAGGAGCTCGAGGAATTGCCTAGCAAGGACCAACAGTCAGCATCGAGCTGGGGAAAGAGGGAACGTAAGCATAGACTAATCCTTACCATAGATAGAAGACCCAAATACCAAACGAAGCCCAGCCGGCAGCGATGCATCCAAAAACCAACCTGGTGTCGGTGGAAAAGGACGACATGGGGATCAGGGGGAAAGCAGCCTTTGCTTTCTCATACCAGAAAAACACGACCAAGAAGAGAACACCGACGATCAGTAACACGTAGACATAGACCTTTTCCCAGCCAGCGGCGGGTCCTTGGTTCCAGGCAAAGTTGAAAAAGATCAACCCGACCACACCGAGGACTGTGCCGACCACGTCCAATTCCTTCCATCGAGACTCTGTGGGGCCTGCGACCGGCATGCGAGGGACGACCAATATGACCAGGACTCCCATGATAGCAGAGACGATGGCGAGTAGCCAATACGTCCAGGGCCACCAGGCGTGTTCTGCAAAGATACCAGAGAACACTGCTCCAACAAGATATCCTCCCGGGGCAGTGGCGCCGAAAAGACTGAGAACCATGTTCTTCCTCGGGCCCGGCGGATACGTGCGGCTCAGAACCGCAATGCCATTAGGAAGCAACAATGCCGGCCCGATACCCTGCATGGCACGACAGAAAGCAAAGAAGACCAACGAGTGTGAGAAAGCCGCGAAGCCTGCAACGGCCGACCAGACGGCAAACCAGAGATATCCAAAGACAAACAATTTCCTGTGTCCGTATAAGTCCCCCCATCGCCCGGCTGGCAAAATGAATGTGCCCACGGTCAACGAGTACGCGGCGGGCAGCCAGGACAGCTGGCCTGGATTCGTGGTGTGGAATGTGTTGCCGATGATATGAAGCGGCGCAATCGACATGGCCAGCGCTGCTTGGGTCAATAGCTGTGCGGCGCTGATAACGGTCACGAACAGAACTTCGTGGATAAGCGAGAACTCGGGCGGTTTTGTGGCGGTAGGCACCCGCGAGATACTCTGTGTCAGGCTTTGGGTCGGATGAATCGAGGATGCGGTGGCCGTTTCATGTCGTGCGAGATCTGTGCTTCTTGTTCTCGTTATCGTTCTGATTGGCACTGCTGCTGATTCTTTTGATGTGTCTGTGTCCATGGTCTCTGCAGGTTTCTCGGTGAGGTTGAGGCAATCTGCCGACTCTGGAGATTCCAGGCTTTTCTCGTGAACGTTGTCGTTGTCGCTCGCATCGGACGACGAGACTGAGGAAGCCCCCGGTCCCTGTACGGAAGACGGTTCCTGCTGGGCGGTCATAACAACCAGTAGAACCCACAACCCAGGACGACTGCAGACAGACGGTTATTGCAGAGGTCTGGTACCGCGAACGTTGGAATATCAGTATATATCGACGCGGGTTGGCTTGACTGTTTTGTATCGCTCGCTTCGCTAGCAGATGCTGCGATTCCGAGATATCTGCAAATTGGAGATTTTGAAAATGACGTCCGATTCGCCTTCAATGATAAATGCTCATGCAGCCTGAGCCTCGCGACACTGACACTCTTCAAACATCATGCGACAGGATATAAACAGACGACCGATCATCGAAGAAGAGGACAAGAGGAACAAAAAACAAAAAATCCAATCGATCGGTATGGAGTCAATCACTGCCCGTTATTAGTTCGGGCGGTATTTCCTCCTTCGAAACTCAACCTGGGTGTCCACCCGCAAGGCTCTCTGTGGTGTCTTTCTTCTGGTCCACCGAATGGGCCCCACCGCCCGCTCGTGATTACGACAGCAACTGTCAGCCAAATGATAACGAGGACCAGTCGAAGAAAGTGCAAAGCCTCGTCCTGGACATATTAGGAACCGAGCCCGTACTGCATCAGCTCGCTGTTTAGGATATCTCGCTCTTTCTCGCTTAATACCGAGTAGCCTTACTGATCAGTGTCAGAGGCTGCTGGCGTGATAGGCGGAATGCAGGTAAGGGATGATCTAGGTGATGGGCTGCAGGTGATCTTCTTGCCGGACTTCGGATTCTGTCCGCGGCAAAGATCCAGAGTTGCTTTGATAAGCAGGGCCCACTGCAATGTGTGCCCGGCGGATCATTTTCCGCGCTGCAACTTCGAGTTCTCGAATCTTGATAATCACGGCAAGGCATCTCGACAGATTCGATATCTGGTCTTCATCTCACATGGCTTTCATCTGGCGACGCGGTTGTGGTTGAGGGTTGCTCTTCTTGAGAGACACCTACTTGTCTTTGTATGACATTTTGCCCCCATCTGCGGTGCAAGTTGGTGTTTTGTGCAGCCGCATCTCTGTATGCCCTGTACAACCCGTATCGGTGCAGGCGACCTTGGCGGCAATCTCATATCGGTGCCACATCGCTTGCTGTCTCTCGGCCTCTGATTCAATCGCAGACATTTCCGTCGTGGTTTCTCCATCAGGGCAGTAATGTTCCCGTTTGTGGCGGTCACAGTTGCGTTTGATCATGTCTCACACCTTGAAGAATTGCGCCGTGGACGTGAAGGAAATGGAGGGGGAGTGCAGTGAGAGAGGCATTGGGTTCTCTACTGCAGTGCGGCGTTAAATCAACAGCAGAATCGAAAATTCTTTGGTCAGAGCTTGCTGCCATATTCTACACCCTCAGCTTGTGTGGCTACCAAGCTAGTAGCGAAGAATTAAGCTTAAAAAGTATCATCGCAGGCAAACTTCAACCCGTACCTGGGTCTGTCACTGGGACGGTTCGGGCAGAGGACTGAAGAAAATGCAAGAGAGTATGCATTGCGACGCCGATTTGGGCGAGGCCGGCGATCGATCTTCTACGTGATATCGAGGAGTCTGTCAATACTACATCTGTCTTTCAGTTTTCAGTGCAGGTACATCGTCTTCTCAAGGCGTAGACATTACAACGGGGTAAAAAGATCAATACTGATCTATAACCCAAGAATTCCCCCGCATGGTATCGCAGCACTATCCGCGCAAGATTGGGACTCCTGCTTCGCTACCATCATTTCGAAGATCATCCGCCTCAGACTGCATTAGGTACACATGAAGCAGTCCATATGACAACAGTAATGTAGTAATTACCTCACCGTACACTGCAGCAGGGATCAGGTTGACTTCGTAAAATAACAGTTTTCCAATTTGGGTAACGCGTCGCGCCGGGAGCCAGTGACACGCTGCCAAAATATGGGGATGGTAAACACACAGCACTGCATGCCAGTGACATTCATCAATGGCTTGATAATTAATCATGATGTGGCAGCGTTGACCCCAAAGCCCTTACATTGTATGCTATCGTTCGCCCCATTTGCTTGGTGGCCTCTATCTTGCTCAATGCCTGACAGACTTCCACAGCATCCATGCCTCGAGCCAACAACAAGGCCACCCTACCGGCGAGACCGGCCGTTGCGCCCTGGACCGCTTCTAGATGCAACAGAACCCTTCGACAGGTCACAACTTTCGTGAACCGACTGGAGAAATGGCATAAGGCATATTTGGCAGCGCAAGAGGAAGCCAAGGAAGACAATTGTGAGGATGATGGACATGTTGGTGCAAAGGAAGAAGATCTCGCCGCGTCGCAGCCTGACTGGCTAGTATCCAATGCAGCGCAGAAAAGGCTCAAGCCGAAAAGGACATATTTAGCCCGCGGCAAGAAGTCACAGGCACGACAGGCTTCCTTGTGTCTGCCCAATGCTGGACGCCCAGCCGAGAAGACACCTGCGAAGAAGACCATCCCGGTGATCCCGGGCGACCCTGTGTCTAGCAGTTTATCCAGAGGCACCGACACGGAAGGGCGTGCTGAGAACAAGAAGTTGAAGAGCAAGAGCCTAAACTTTGTTGGAAGTCGCGATACTACTGAGAGTGGCGGTACTATTCGGTTACACAAATGGACGGCACAAACCGTGCACCTCGCTCCAGAATACGAGCGCATCATGCAGACTGCTACCTCCACCATCTTCTCATTCTTGGTTGCAACTTCCGAGCCCAAAGACCCGTCTCAGTGGGATGATCGCGCTGTGGTTAATCCGAGTGATTGCATCCGGAAGGGCTCCAGATCCTTGTTTGACATGTGTCTCCACAAACTGTCGAAGGATATGGTCGGGCAGCAGAAGCAGTACGACGCCAACAATGACGGGTTCAACGGCCAGTTTGATGCGATAGGGTTCCAATTGCAAGAACTTGAGGACTATTTTGGAGACTCAAAGTCCGGATGGCCCCTCCTCAGATGTGTCACCCGAGTATGCGGTATCCATATGGTGGCCAATCTGGTTGAAATGCAGGCCCTTCCAGAAGCTATGGCAATGGATATCATGGTCCGGTCTTATGACAGTCCTCTCCTTTTGGATATTGCGCCGGCCATCTTACAAGCCCTGGTTAACGTGCACTTGAGCAGTGACAGTCTCGATCTGGAGTTCCATGATCTGCCGCTGTACACTGAGAATTGGGGACCCACCTCGCCCTTGCTGGCAGACATGGAGCGGCACCGGATGGGCGTGACCTGGACGGTCCTCGCACTACAGAGTCAAGATTCGGTTGCGGTTGTATCTCGGTTCATCAGGTATAAGCACCTGTTGCGGCTACTGGTGATGCTTTGCAACGGATCTAAAAAAGTATCTCATCTGCCATCTACATCCCCATCTGAGTTTCTCGAAGCGATCTACAGTGGAGCGTTGTCACGCGGACACAAGCACACTGATCTTTACCAGAACCTGAGAAAGGACAAACGAAAAACCGATGTCGTGCAGGAAGATGTAACCCGCCCATGTCACCATCAAACGCTCTCGGAAGGAGTGGCGAACCGGCTGAATATGGCTTTCACGGTGCTGTCGACAACAGCTCACAGTGAGCGCACTGCTGGGGCAGCCCGCGAAGTGATGGAAAGAATCTCGAAGAAGGCGCAGATCCTCTACGAACTCGACCAGGACTTTGCCTTGACCGAGTATCAGCTGCACCTGATGGCTCATATTTTCTTCTCTAATATGTGCCAGCTAGTGCTTAATCGACGCCCTGTGCCGGATAATCTCTTGACGAGTTTCGAGTCTCTGCTACACACCATCGAATGTTGCACGTCCGGATCGTGGCGGGTTCTGCGTGGCGACTTCGTTATTACCCTTCTTGCTCAGAGGTTGGATTCGGCTGGACTGCAGGATCTGGTCCAAAGGTTCTTGTGTCTAGACTGTTGTGGATGCAACATTGTGGAAAACCTGCTCGCAGATGTGGGAGCAAGCGCTGCCATGGATTATGCCGCGGGGCATAATGACGATCTTGCTATGCTGGTTTGGGCAGCCGAAGTCCACAAAATATCCCAAGCGAAGATGGAGCGGAGAACGAAAGAGCCTCAGACACCTGCAACGAGAAGGAAAGACAAAATCGCTTACCGGTGGGATGAAGCCATTGAAGAATGGATTGCCCAAACCCCAGAAACGCTGGCAAAACTTCGGAGGACAGGCACTGACATTGATCCCGCTTCCAGTGACAGTACTGGGAGGTCTGGGCTCATGAAGCATCCATTTGGCAGAGATCATGTGACCGCTTCGGTTACTAGTGACTATCGAACGGCTCTGCAGCCGATCGTGAATGATAGTAGTAACAGGAAGCTGATTCATGGCAACTTGAACGGTATGAAGCGAAAGAGTGAACCATCTCGATCAGGGGGGTGCCGGGATGACAATCATCCGCAAACAAAGAAGCCAAGGCGGTACGTAAGTTTCAGCAACATTAACAAGGGTCTGGGCAATGGAGAAGGGCATAAAATTGAGCTTGAGGACGAATCCGAGGATGAATTAAGCTTGCTTAGGTAGCAGCAACGTGTGTAGCAATCGGCGCCGATAATAGCATGTTGTGCTCTGCTCTCTCTATATGCGTACACGTTAGTACTGTAGACAGGTATGTTTCATGGCCCTTGCATCTGACGGGTGCCGGCGGTGTTTCAGGAGCACCTCCGGCGCCTCTGCCAGCTATCTTTTTACACGGGCATTCCATGTCGTGCGACGCCGACCAAGGGGACAGATGCCTAACAGCTACTAGGCCAGGTTGGTCCCGGAGTTCCGATGACGACGCCCAACCCACGTTGACGGGTGATGGGCAATGCAGGGCGGATCGGAGAGCACACCACCGGGAGCCAACTTGGTGGCTGGCACCGTGGCGTTTCAAGCAAAGGGAGCGCAAAGCCTGGACGACGTGATAGGACGAACCCTGAAGGCCGGGACCGTGATTGATAACAGGACCGGGCCACAGGCTCAGGCTCCTCTCATGCAGTGGCCCCAATCCATACAACTACAACGTAGAGTGTACCTGGCACCTAAGGTATAGCCCTGATGGCCCTGTAATTGGACAAGGCTGTGGGCCGTGGGTTCAACCAATAATCATTCGCCGTTGTTGCTTGGCAGCTACTTCTTTCTGAACAGCGCGCCAAGCACGTTACGAATCCAGGCACAACAGGAACAAGAATCTCATGTGCACAAAGAAACTGCGCCAGGGGCCGGTCACAGTCTGCGTTTGCGTCTGGGACTTCGCCTCTCACAGCACCCACGCTGCTCGTCGATTGCTCGAACTCGTTTTTCTTCGAGTGAAGACAACTGTGGGCACGGTCACCTCCACAGCTAGCCTCCTGCCGAACGTGCGCCCTGACCCGTGCGCAACTATTGATTGAATTCCTCTGCGGATCGGCTCCTAGAGCGCCGTCGAGCCCGTAGGGCCGTGTCATCCCTATGAGCTCGGTTGTCTATTAGCCTATCCGGCACTCGATCTTTGCTAGTAGTGCAACACCGGACATTCCTCTGCGTCGAGGCTGTTGTGGAGTCTCCAGCCATTTCTTCCGACCCCTGCCTTGCAGCATGGGTAGAGCCACCATTCTGATACTCACATCGTCAACAGGACCGACGAGTGACCCTGCCCGCTGAAGGAATCATCAGATGTCTATTATGAGTCCCCTGCAAATGCCGCGGACTGTGGTGCTGGTGGGTTCGTCATCAATACAACGACGATCTTTGGGGCACACCATGTCTCCAGAGAGTTCGAGTGAAGGAAAGGTATGTTATATCCATCATGCCCGACACTCGTGATTGAATCAGGTCGAGTTGTCACCCTTTTGGCTTCAAGTTCCTCACTTTTTCGTTTCTTTGAGCGCTGGCTGCGTGACCTTCGACGAAACCCTCTTTGATTGAACGGACGGGCTGGTCTTGTCTTTGTCTGCCGCGCTTCGGACGCGGCCATACTCCTTTGTGGTTTGACACCCTACAATACAACACCTACCAAACCATGATTCCGAGCGCACTTTTACTCGCTGCCCTGGCACCTATCGTGATGGCCGCGGAGCCGTCTCACTCTGGCAACTCGACAAGTTCGAGTTCGGGCGGTTCATCGCCTCACCAGAACGATGCCACCACACGCCATCTGGAGATGCTCAACAAGACGTTGGGCTACAACTATCTCTGGTCTCTACTCGGAGTCACGGCGCTGCTCTTGGCTTTCATGACGGCCATGCGCATCAATGCTCATATCCGACATCTGGCGTCAATGGGTGGATCTGGATCCCTACGATACTATTCTACAGCCTCGCCGCTCATGTCCTCCATCAAGAGCAACCTTCTATATGCTCCCATGTTGCACTACCGGCGGGCACGCGAACTGAAATTGTCGAAGCATGTCAACTTCGGCACCGTGCCTACACGCTTTCAAGCAATCTTCATTTTCCTCGTTATCACCACCAATGTTTTCGCAAGCACCTGGAACGTTCCCTGGTCGGATCCCGAGCTCCAGGTGCTGCCGATTTTGCGCAACCGGACCGGTACTTTGTCGGTGGTGAACCTCATCCCAATTATGGTTATGGCAACCATAAAAAATCCTCTGATCACTCTACTCGATATATCATATGACACGTTCAATCTGATGCACCGCTGGTTCGGCCGGATCGCCGTGCTCGAAGCCATTGCTCACACGCTATGCTGGCTCATTGCCAAGGTCCAATCCAAAGGCTGGGACGCTGTGAAAGAGGCGATGCACAGCCCGTTCATCTACGGTGGCTTGATCGCCACGATAGCATTCACCGTGATCCTGCTGCAGAGCCCCAAAGTGTTTCGAAGCTTATCCTATGAGTTCTTCTTACACTTCCACTTCGTGCTGGCCCTTCTTGTTGTGGTGTTTCTCTACAGACACCTGCACCTGAGCAATCTTCCACAAGAATCTCTATTGTGGGGAGCCGTTGCCATCTGGGCCGCTGGCAGGGTCCTCAGACTGGGCACGTTACTCTACCGGAGCATCGGAAGGGGATTCTGCACAGCAAGCGTCGAGCCCCTGCCAGGCGGGACAGTCAAGATCACCATCACGACGCCACGACCCTGGGTCTACAGACCCGGTCAATCATTATACCTTACCCTCCCTGCCCTCGGTCTCTGGACTGCCCATCCCTTCTCCGTGGCCTGGTCAGGATACGAGCGGGAGAGGGAGCGGCTCACCCGATCTGATTCCACGCGGTCCGAATATAACGAAAAGAAACCCATCGTCGTTCGCGCGGGGACGCTGCCAGAAGTCGAAGTTTCCGGACAACATACCGTTTCCCTCATTGTGAAAAAGCACACAGGTTTAACGCAAAAACTATGGCACCATGCGCGGAACGCGGAAACAGGAGGGTCGTCTCTTTCCGCCTTCATCGAGGGGCCCTATGGGCGAGAATCAAGCCTGTCTAGTTATGGGACAGTCCTGCTTTTCGCATCCGGGGTCGGCATCACGCACCAGCTCGGCTTCGTTCGACAGCTCGTCCAGGGATACCGAGAGGGAACTGTGGCCGCCAAAAGAATCGTCTTGGTCTGGGTGATCCCGACCAGAGACTGTCTCGACTGGATCAGTTCGTGGATGCACGAGATTCTCAACATGGAAGGGCGTCGTGAAGTTCTCAAGATCTTGCTGTATATCACACGCGCGGGTCTAAGTCAGGCGGTGAGAAGTCCGTCCGAAATGGTCCAGATGTTCAAGGGCAGACCGGTCGTTGAGGACATTATTGCCCATGAAAGTGCGCGTAAACTCGGCTGTGTCGGTGTCAGTGTTTGTGCTGGTGGAGGGTTGGCTGATGAGGTTAGGAGGGCTTCGAGGAGAATGCTTGACAGGGGTGCGAATTTGGATTTCTTCGAGGAAGGGTTTGGATGGTGAGAGAAGGAAGAGCAGAAGCAAAGCAGTGCAAAGTAAAAGAGCGTTTGGTACGATATGGTATAGTTATACACGCAAGGCAAGGCGAACTCGACCGAATACCATGTCAGGGCCATATCGAGGTGAGGTACACGAGCGAGGAAAAATAGTTTACCTGGCCCCGGCAAGCAAGCAAGCAGGCAGGCAGGCAAGCAATGCAGATGTGTTTATCTTTTGTCACAGTATATCTCTATTTGACTACAATGATCCTCTGTCTTCTGGACTAGACTGAAGGCCAACGCTGTTATTAGTTTCATACTGACTACTAGGTACCCAGGTACCCCCCTATTACCGTACCTGTAAACTTCGTATCATTCATGATATGTGTGCAGTGCAGTGCAGTGAGGTGAAGTGCAGTGAAGTGCTCGCGATCCATTCCATTCTCTGCCGAGTTTACACAATCAACTTTCCCCACAAACCGTGGGTGGCATCCCTTGGGGCCAAGCCGTTTGTTTCGTTCCCCAGTTCAAAGCGGATTGATTACCTAGGTAGATTTTTCATTGCATTGCATTGGCTCTTTTCTAGACCAAGTCAAGTCATGTCTGCTGTATACCTGGTTATTATAACATGTACCTACTTCGGTACCTACTTCGGTACCTACTCCACTTCGCTTCGTATTGTAACAAGTCTGTCTATACCTACTCCGCTTCGCTCCGTAGGATGAACCACATCAAATACTAGCTCTCCTAGGCGCCATGGCTCTCAACAGTCCCTTATCACCTTCCTCGCCCCCCTTACCCGACCACATCTCAATAACACTCTTCAACTCACCATCATTCTTCAGCCGGGCCAAATATTCCTTAGCATACGAGTACCCCACTTCGTAAATCTCATCAAACTTGGCAAAGTCCAGCGTGGCATAGGCATCGATAGGCGGTCTCATATACAAACACCCCGGCGTAGCTTTTGCTCTTTCCAAGGCATCGACAGAACTGACGTAAGCAAGTCTCGCTTGAATATCACTCAGCGTCGGGGGGTTCGGAGTTGAAGAAAACGGATTCCAGCGATTAAACAGGGCCCAGAAACCCGACAAGGTATCTCCGTACTGTTGCGGAGTGTCGTCGTCTAGACTGCCGACGTCGACTGCAAAAACGAGGTCTGTGCCCAGACTCTTCATGTGCGACACGGTCAGGTTGTCCATGTATCCTCCATCCAACAACATGCTGCCTTCGTCGCAGATGGGCGGCAACAAGCCCGCAAGAGACATGCTGGCGCGGACGTAGCGCCACGCGTATCCCGAAGTGTGGATCTCGGCGCGCGATTTGCTGATGTTGGTCGTGTTGCAGTAGAAGGATAACCAGAAATCTTCAATTTGCGAATTGCCAAACGCCTTGAAGATTCCCCGGTTGAATTCATGCCCTGTCGTGTACGCCGCTGAGGGGTATGTCAGGTCCAGAGCGAACCGCCACATGCTGCCCATGCGGCCAGAGAATTTCTTCGCTCGTCCGTACATGGGAACTGTGTCTGCGTCACGCGCATACAATGCTCCCATGAATGCACCGATCGACGTCCCGCCGACAATGTCGATTGGAATCCCTGCCTCTTCGAGCGCCTGTATCACTCCCACATGTGCAATGCCCCGAGCGCCGCCTCCGCCGAGCACCAAACCGACGGATTTGCCGCAGAGCCGCCGCGCCAGTCGGTGCAGATCCCCTTTGAACGGCCGATCCGCCGAATACAGAGGTGCGTGCCGGATCCTTCGAGACGTGTACTTTTGAATCTCGGCTTGGATGACTTGTACTCTTTGCTTGATGGCCGATCCCAGTCGTCTGGGTTGCGCGTGAGGCGTCACTTCCGGGTTCACACGGAATGCCATTTGGACGTGATGGTGGCCTCCATTGATCCACATCCTGTTCCGCAGCCATCTGCTGGTAAGGCCGGGCGGAGTAAACCGATCCAAGTGGAGGAGCACCAGATCTTTGCGCGCTGTGGATTTCATGCCTAGCAAAAATCGTTCGTACTCGCCAATGCTTGGAGAGCCGTCGGCGAGTCCAACCAACAGAATACAGTCCGCCTGTGAGATACAGGTCTGCGTCCAGGGTGCGTTGACATTGGTATCGGCAATGTACAGGAGCATTCCGTACTTTTCCTCCAGATCCGCAAGATACTGTGACAACTTCAACCGGCCCATTCGCGTAAAAGCGTGCCGGCCAAGATGGCTCAAGATGATGGAATTGTTGAGCAGCGAAACTCCATTGGGCACGCCAACTTGACTCAGTGCCGCCACGAGACGGTTACCGAACTCAACCACGGGAACCCCCGCAGTAACCGGCAAGACTGCTATCGTGCGCAGATTCAGATTCGAGGTGCCCGAGTCGCTCAGCGCGGCCTTTCCCCTTTCCTGCCCGTTCTCCGACAACGGCGCTTCGATGAGTGCCCGCATTCGCTGCGCTATCAGCCTGGAGATCTGAATGGTAATGTTGGGATGTTCTTGCGCCAAGCTGTTGAACAGGCTTCTGGGAAATTTGGCAAGTTCGGTATCTCGAATGGCATGGAGAGTGGCCGATCTATTCGCATCCGTCATGACTTCAAGCTCCCCAATGCTTTCCCCTTGGCCATATTCTCCGGTCACGCGCATTTCTCCATTTTCGAGCTCCCGAACAGCTCGGAGCCGACCGTTGAGGACGATGTAAATGGCATCACTTTCATCGCCTTGATGATGAATGACCTGCCCTGCGTTGACTTGAACCCACTCGAGCGCAAAGTCGATATGTAGGATCAAGCGCGGGAGGAGACTGGTGAGCCTTTTCGCCATGGTAAGCAGCACCGCCGGATACTTCTCGGCGACGCGTTCTAAAGATGCCCGAGGAAGGAAGCCAACATAGACGTCCGTCTTTGCTGTGACATCTGTAAAGCTTCGGTAGGAGGACAATGTGCCGACGTAACCGGCAACGCCTCCTGGCTTCACCAGAAACAGCGATTTTTGCACCATTCTTCTGCCCTCCTTGGGCTGTCCGGGAATAGCGGCGACGGAAGACGCGCGCGAATTGCCCGTCTTTGTCCTTCGAAGTTGCAAGGTGCCATCGTCTCGTGTTTTCCGGTCATTTGCTTCTCGTGCAAGATTTCTATCTTCCTTTTCCTCCACCGGGATACTCACATCGAGAAACCCGTCAATAACGTAATAAAGCCCGGGATTTCGCTCACCTTGTTCCACAAGAACAGAGCCCTTTGGGAAGTAAACGATCTCCACGTCATCTATCAGCTCTTCGTTCAACGACTGTGCGTGAAATGAACCAGAGACACTGGCAGCGGAGGCCGAGGCTGAGTCGGACTCCCCATCGGCAGAATCCTCGTACGGATCGATGAACCCGAAAGCGTTGTTGAAAATGGCAGTTTGTCTCCTTGCATCGTAGGAGACGAGCCGTGGAGATTGTTCCACCGACGCCAATCCTCTTTTCATGGACTGGTTGATCGCCTCATCTAGACCGATGGCCTTGCCGATACATTCCAAGACTGATTCCCGGAAAAGACTGTCCTCATTGATGGACTCTGGCCGATGCGGGATATCATCCGCGAACGGCCTAAACAGCGGCTGCTCACGATTCCCCAATGGACTGCCCGCCTCGGCTTTCACTGCCTCGGGACTTGGCATACTGAGCGTGTTCGATATTGGCGGCATATGCAGACTGGTCGGCCTTTGGTTGGGCCTGGAGCTTTCCGAAGGTTCGGGCGCGTTTCCGTTTGAGGTACCAGACGCCTGAGAAAGACCACTTGGCCTCGAGTTCAGGGGCGGAGTTCGCCTCGTCGCCGACAGCCGGGCTGCCATCGCTGCTTCCCTCCGCAGACCGCTTGACGATCTCCTCCGATGAGCCCGTGGGTTGTGCAAGGCAATGCCTTTAGTCCCTTCCTCCAGTCCGATCCTGTCCCGCTCCTTTGCAAATTTGTCTCGCAGGCGATCCAACGCGTCGCCACGTAGGTGATTTGGCAAATCATAGCTGGTGTACTTGTTCATCAACTTCTCGATCTGCAGCACTTCCGAGGTCAATCCCAGATATTGATGTGCCGTAGAAAGGGTTACGCGATGCAATCGAGTCAATATGACCTGGACTATATGAGCAGTGGCTTTGGGATACACCCTGGTCAGCCGGCGAAAAGCACTTGCGGGGATGATGGCAATTGTCGTATCCACCACCGCCCTGGCCACAATGTCAGGATGCGCCGAGGGGCCGGTCTTAGCTTTGTCTTGTTGCGGCTGTTGATGTTGTTGTTGATAGTGGCGTTCGTCAAATGCAGCACCAAGACTGAGCGGTGGGACACTCGGCAACCTTGCTTTTGCGAGACCTTCTCGAGGATGACCAGAGACAGGCATAGCTGGTGTCGACGGCTGCGTAGTAGGGCTGGTCACTACCGAATCAGGAGTATTGGACATGTGATTGGAAAAGGCCGAGGGAGGGTTGACTCCGTCGGCATGGCGCAGCTTTATATCTTCTGTAAAGAGCGACAAGATGGAGAAGAGCGACGACATTGACGCTCCATTCTTGACTTCGGTCAGCAACTGGTAGCCCTGGTTGCCTTCATGATAGCCTTCTTCATCATTGTTAAAAAGTCCTGCTTGGCCCGCCGCCGGATCGTCTGACACTTCCCTCAAGGACTTGACGAAGATCTGCACCAAACCGTCCACAACCAGACAGAAGCCTTTCTCTTCCTCGAGAAGCAACGTTTCTCCAGCAATGAGTTTCCTAGTCTGCATTGTCCTGGTCAACTCGTGAAATACCGGTCTCTCGAGATATCCAAACACTTTGATGGCGCTGAGGAACTCGTCAAGGTAATTTGCCAGCCCGGGCTTTGAATCTCCATCTTGCGTGTCTGGAAACAAATCTATCTGTGGTTCTTTTCTCTTGGGTTCTTCAGGTAGGCGGGCATAGACGTTCAGGTAGCGGTAGCGGATGAACCAGCTGATGGTCGAGACGACCGCCAGGAAGATAAGGAGCCTGCACCATTGTCAGTTCTGGTCGAAAATGACACAGATGTATGCTTACAAAGTAGTAAAGTTCATGGTGAAAGTCAGGCTCATGGAGAAAAGAGTGAACAGCCATCTTGGGAGGGTGATGGTAGTGAATGTAACGATCCAGAACAACCCGCCAGGAATAAAGGTCACAAGCGACAAGAGAGCATGGCCGAAGCCAGAGGAGTGACCGGAATGGCCATACTGGCCGGTCGCGTTCATCGAGGGCGGGGTGATGCTAGAGAGTGTGGCCGATGGCGATCCAAGGCTTGCCGGCAATGTCGATGAAGAGGACGCCATCGCAGCCATTGTGAGGAATATGCACATGCAGGCCAGTGAGACGGGGCATCTCTGCTCTACCTGCGAGTCGACTGCCAGAAAAGATAGGTCATGGTCATGGTGCGTCGCAAGGAGAGGAATCTCAGGGAGACAACGCTGGTCAATGAAGAGTGCACGTGTTGGCAACGGCGAGAGGGTCTAGGAATAAATCGGTGGTGGCAGCAGTTGGAGTGCAGTACAGGGCAGTGTGGTGGCATACTACACTGTAAGATACCTACCTATAGGCACCTGGGCACCTAGGTGATAGGTACTGTACGTACCTGGGCCAATCCCGCGGGATGCAAAACGGAGGAATTCCATCGGAAAGTTTATCCGCGATTAGGTCAACCAGCCCCTTCCCGCACTTTCACATGCCAGTGCAGTCAGTGCACCTACACGCAAGGCTTCAGCCTTGCCGCTGATGTTTGACCTTGATTCTACGTGACTTGAAGGTACATTGTACGTAGTACCACCTGTGTCTATGGTATATCTAAGGTAAGCTTCCTGAATGCTGCTCTATCACCGCCTCTCATGAACCAACCTGCCACCAACCCATACCCGCCGGACATTCCTATCGTCCCCATTCCACACCCACTTGTCGACGCGGTCTTCCCAGCTCTCCCAGCCAAAGACGTCCACTTCCGCATCATCTCCATCGCCATTCGAGTCGACATTGCCCAGGACGATTTCTTGAACATCCCACAGCATCCCTACCTCAAACCTGCCTAGCCGCCCTTCCATGCCGACCACCTTTGCCCCGCCCACGGTGGCCAGCCACAGTGCCTCGGCAACACCAACATTGTATCTCCCATCACCATCATGGAGATAGCTGACATGGCGACTCACCATGCAAGCGTTGCGGACCGCATCGAGGATACTGGAGCTATATCCACCGCTGACGTCCGTCCCCAGACCAACCTCGAGCCCTTCATCCAACAATACTCGTACGGGGCAGAAGCCACTACCCAGCGCGCTGTTGCTGGCGGGACAATGGCTGATCTTTGCTTCTCTGCATTTGATCAGTCTCATCTCGTCTCTGCTGAGATGGATGGCGTGGGCTAGAATGGTGCGTGGCGTCAACAGCCCATGGTGGTCGTAGACGTCACTATAACTAGCCTGGTCCGGAAACAGCTGCTTGACGAGTTTGATCTCATTCAGGTTTTCCGAAATGTGCGTCTGCACTCGAAGATTTTGGTCCTTTGCCAGCTCACCCAGCCGCGACAGTGTTTCGGGCAGACAGCTGGGAGCAAAGCGGGGTGTGACGATGTGTGCCAACAGCTCCCCAGAAGGATCCAGCGACTTGCAATGGTCGATGCTCGCTTGTGTATTGGCTATCGTCTCATCCGTACTCTCGTCTCGGTAGTAATCCGGGCATGTCTCGGGCCGGTCCATGCACACTCGTCCAATGTAAGCTCGTTGTCCTCGGGCAAACGCAGTGTCGGCCAGTAGGTTGGTGGCAGCCACGTGTATCGTGGCATAGTATGATGCCGTAGTGGTTCCATTGGCAAGCGTCCGCGAGACGACTCTGTTGTAGACCGCCTTTGCTCGGGCAAGTGGGTTCGGTGGCTCGACCGAATCCTTGTACATGGGTGACTTTGGGTTGCCCAACGAAGACTCCAATGGGAACGTATATGTCGTCAACCAGTCGAGAAGCGTTGATTTCCCGAATATACCCGCATTTGGATATTGCGGCGCATGTATATGGGTGTCTGTTCGCGAGAGGCTGTTAGCCAACCTGCGTTCATGGTTTTGCTGCTTGAACCGGCCTCGTGCAGACCATCCATTCACATCTGCCGCCTGCCAAAGTGCTCATTGGTTGTTCACAGCAGTGGATTGGAGATGACTCCGATGCCTCGACAATGGCAGCACCCAACAAGCTGAGGCCTGAAAGAACTGTCGCGGTAGCACTCACCAATAAAGCCAGGGAAAAAGAATCCGTTCTCCCTCGTTGTGATAACTGGAGCTTCAATTCCAAATTTGCTGATAGCTTCCTCAGGAGATTTCACTGTCCAATCCGCCTTCTTAATGACGCCCCTTCCATCTGTCCGGTTTACAAGCACTGCGCCGGTTCGAATCAACACTTTATCCGGCTGCGGCGCTGAGATAAAGCGACCAAAGTATATTCTTGCTTGCGCCATTGTAAATCTATAGTATCTGTGTTGCCCCAAGCCGAACCTCGATGCAGTCTCTAGACGAACACAATTCTTCTAGGCAGGAACGCCAGAAAAGGAAAATAACAGTCTATTCTTAACAAAGGTTATGGAGAGAGCGGCTCCAGAGATATTCTATATCAGTGAGACGTGGGCAAAAGCAAGCAACGTCGATCAACCAATCAGGAGCGGCCTGACGCCAATCTGATAGGACAATCTCCATATCATCATTGCCTTCCAACAAACTTCCAAGCTCTACAATCAATGGACGTTATCACATTCCACGAAGCCTCTTCAGAAACCTTTGAAGAGAAGTCAACTAATCAGCGTTACTGCCATCGCGTCATTTATCGCCTTCGTCGCTATCAATAGTAAAAACCACCTCGCATTGACCGTCGCCGGAATCCGGGTGCCACATCATCCGCCATGTCGCTGCGGACCATTGTCATCGCTTCTTTACCCACATGGGTCATGCCGATGACTTGTTCTGCCCTCACTCGCGACAGTTCTCTCAGTGGTGTCGCTCTTAGCAATATTCTGGGATTAAGTTTGCTTGACGATCGAAGGAACGGCTGGGGCAACTGTCATAGAACGATTGTTAGCCTACAGAACCACAAAATAAAAGCCAGCTTGAGCTAATGGTAGGTTTGGAAAGGCTGGGCTGCAAGCGCAAGAAACAAGTCAGATAACTCACCTTCCATGATCGCCGGACCGAATAAAACATCCGAGTCGCTCAGTTTTTTGCCACTAACATCGATGGCTGTAATGAATACAAACACTTGGCCCCCAATATTGTTGGGAATGGCGGCAGTCATTCCCGACTGCGAAAGCTGGGCACCGACGGAGACAACATTCAGACCGGCGATGAACGTCACAAAGACTTGGCTCACCTGGCTTAGGTCTTTTTTCGATGTGCTGAAGTCGGGCACCAGTTTGAGAGCTGAGCCGGCCGAGGGAGCATCGCAGGAGACCGCCGATGACTGATTCGTACGGGCTCGCATGCGCTGTGCCGCGGCTGTTTGAGTTGCACTGGCGCCAGTAGAAGTAGACTCGGTGGTGGCTGATGCAGCGGTGGAAGCTGTGGTTGCTACGGCGGCGGCACCCGCGGATGTTGCAGCAGTTGTGGCCGTGCTGCTGGAGTCTGAGGTAGCAGCGGTAGTGCCAGTAGAGGTCGTGTTGCTTGCTGTCGCGGACGCGGCCGCTTGAGCAGCGGTGTTCTCAGCTAAGCACGACTGCGCATCAACCTTCAAGCCAGGGAAAGCAGTGAAAGGCAGAGGTGGGTTTTCTGGAGGACACGAGGTGATAAACTGGGCGGCAAGAGTAAAAACCGAGTTGGCATCGAGAGGCTGGGTGTGCATCAGTCAGTCAACCAAATCAGACCAATAGGGGAGGCCTCTGGGTCATACTGTTCCGAATGGGTCGGGAGCGCCAATGGCACCCACTGACGACCTCTGCAGTGATGTGTGTAGTGCCTCGGTGACCATGATACTGGCAGCAACACCAAGAATGTCCTTTGAACCGACAAATGGGGCGGCGCCAAGGTATGCACTGGTGCCGACACTCTCGAGAATGGCGGACAATGCAACAAAGCTAGCCACGTCGGTGACGGGGAAGTTATACTGGCATGGCTTAACCGGCACGACGCCAGCTCCCTGAATAGCTGTCTGTAGCAGAACGACGTGGGCGGACTCGTCTGCTGCGATGAACTGGAGATTAAGGAAGAAGTCCTCACTGAAGCCAGCGTCAACAAAGTGTTGCAAGGTGAATGTGTTGAAGGCCGTTTGGTAGAAGGTGTTTTCAAGGTGCTCGAGCTGAGATGGTGTTAGACGGAGCAAGACGATCAAGAGTTATGCATGTTATCTCACTGTCAGAGCAAATTGGAGAATCGTAACGTCCACATCAGAGAGGCCCGCTGTGCGCCTGGAGAGGTCGACCGGATGGGCTAGAGCCAGGCCGGCGAAGAGGGTGCTCAGGGCAGAAAGAGTGAATGACTTCATTTTAGAGGGGCGACTTCTGAGGTTGGTTCAGGAATCAAGAATATACTCGGGTCAGCGAAGTGAAAGAAAGAGTGGCCAGCACAAGAAGGTAAATGAACGAGGCTTCTTAGAAGTCCAAATGAGAAAAGATTGAATAGACTTGTCAAAAGTCTTGGAAAGAATGAAAATGTAGCTTCTCTGGTAATGGAGTCCGATTGTTCAACACCATGACTGGGAAATATGATGAGAATATATAGACATATATCGAGAGAGCCGAAACAGGAAGCTCGACGATCCGAACAACCCTCCTACCTCTGTATGATCCAGCAACTTTGCGACGGTGAGTTCCAAAAACTACAAATTATGATACGGGGAATTCGAAGGAGTCGTTTCAACTCGGCTCATGGCGTTGTAGCAGAGACGAGCGCCAGGAGAGGAGGAGGACAGTAGCCTTCCAAACCCGGTATATTCCTGCTCGGATGTGGAAAATCTCCGAGACTGTATCTGACGCCGGACAAGATCTGCTGTGGGTGGAACAGCGGAGGAGCTGGGCAGATCACCACAGAGATCTCTTTGTCGTGGTGGCTCAGCTGGTCGAGGCGCCCATGATCGCTAGCTGCGGGAAGCTAGAACAAGGCTGAGACGAACCATTCCAATTTCATAGCACTGCAATCTGCATGCGACGGATCAGGGTAGTGAAGATGTTGCGGGTAGATGTAGCCTTGTAGATAGAGATGGCCGATAAGATACTGGGCGTCAGCGGCTATACCGAGAAGGCACAAAATAGGGCAGCCTTCCTGCTCGCTCAGGGACATCTATACACCAAGGGAACAGATGAGACAGTTGAGTGTTTGTAGATGCGTCAATGGCCTCGGAGAATGGATGAGCCGGCAGTGGTGAGGCTGTCATGGAGGAAGAGTGTTTCAGGCATGTCAGCCTGAGACGGGACAAGAGAGTGCCAAGCCAACTCACGTGCCTAATCCTGGTCACGTGTTGATCCGGGATGTGCTGCCACGTGATACAATCGTGCATGGACGCATGACGTATATCATGACAGTCGTGGGGCAACTGGCACTCCATGGCCATGCAGTGGCTCCAGCTTCAACCTGCTCCTCAGGCTGTAAAACACCTTGGTCCAACCTTGCAGTGGAAAGTCGATAACCGACTCCATTTGGTAGCCGCCCAATCACTGCTTCTTCCCACCATCAGGATGACGAAGCTTGCTATGATGTATTCGGGTGCACTGCATTCGTGCATTGTCGTTGTATTCTGGAGCACGCTGCGTTGGAACAGGGCTCAGGCTGCCCAAACCTGCTCCCGGTCGAGTGAATCAGCAGCCCGCGCTATGCGATGACGGCTTGAGGTTCAAGCTTCCAAGGTCCAGTGGTTTGTTTGTGTTCCGTCAGACCGCGCAGGTGGGAGAGGTAAGGTATATAGGACTCGCACATGCTTCTCGCCGTCCCAAGTCCTCCATTTTCCCGCTTTTATCTATCTCACTGCCAGCATACCGGTCAAACCGAACGTTATTCATCTCTAGCCAAAACATATCTCGCTAGCTTTATTCCAGCCCTCTAACAAGCCATCACCATGAACACCCAAGGAACAGCCGCTGGCTCCAACCAGCAAGAGGACTACCTCGACAAAGGCCTCGACGCTGTCGAAAAGAAATACGGAGGCGGTAAGCCCTGAGACCTCCTTCCCTTATTTATCGCGATCAAAAAACAATTCTAACCTTTTGATTTCTCAGGCAAAATCGACCCAGCCAAGCAGCGCAGCACCAACGAGAAAATCACCGACAAGGCCCGGGGTCTAGTCGAGAAGGCCACTGGCAAAGACATTCCTGACAAGGTACGTGCGAGCGAGCGAAGCCCTCACAATCATCTGCCATCACACAGCTTTTTGACTGACTTGGTGTCTCTCGTGCACGAAACAGATCAGCAACTAAACAAGGATTTGGATATAAAACAAAGACAGAATCAGCCTAGCCTAGCAATACCTTAATTACCTACCTAGGTAGTTGAGGCATGATTCAGGCCTTTATAATGAAATGGTCCACGAACTCGGACCTGAATTCAAGAATATGTTCATCATCTCACAGAGCCATATCAGAATTCTATAGTACCTTAGATACCCGCGTGTCACGGTGCCCGTAGGTACCTAGGTACCTAGTAGGAAATTCGGGGCCCCGCGGCCTCTTGCAGTTGGTACTGTACAGTACAGGCTGATGGTACTCTCCTAGGTACCTACTAGGTAGGTACCTTACTCGTGGGGGAATGCAGTAATAAAGCCCACCAAGATACTGTACCTAGGTACAACATACCTACAACTAAACACTGCATCGTCCCACAGTCCCCGTCCCCGTGTCCGGAAAGAAACGAACAGAAACACGAACATGGACATGAAAACCAGTTAGAGGTATACAGTTGTACCTAGTTCATCCTTACGGGGTCTCCAGCACGCCGCGCGCGCGAAACAATCCAGGACGGGAGAGGCAGCTGCAACAAAAATTCCTGTACCTGGTATTACTGTACCTATTATTGTTGTAGTGGCGCCCCCGCGCCAGCTGGCCCTTGGCCAAGTTCATCGGCTTTGCCGATATTGATTCGGTATAGCGGTGGCCAAGGGCACACACACCTTTGGTCTACAACTACAGTATCTCGCATGGAGAAGAAAAATGTGGGATTTCTCCAACTTTGGCGTTTCTGTTTCGTCATTGTCCTCAGCCACGCATCCCATCATCGTCTCTCGTTTCTCGTGTGAATATCCTTGTTCTCCCATTCGAGTGTCGATCTCTTCTTGCTAGTCCAATAGAGTTGAAGTTGCAGCCACTCGCTCTGCGCTAGCTTCCGTGCTGAACTCCGTGCTAGCTACTGGTAGGAGCCTCGGGATTTCTTTTGGATCCCGGCCCGCCAACAGTGCCCTGCCTTCCATGACCTAACTGCTGTAGGTGCCATACTCTCAGTTACAGGTACCTGGGTATAGTAGGAGATACTGAAAGATATCCAATCCGGCTTGCCTGTATAGTGGTCTAGCTTCCCCTGATGCGCTCGAGCCGTACGGATTGACTCTTTCATGGTGTATCGCGGTCGACCCGGCGAAACGCGGGACAACGGCCCGACGGGATCCCGTGTTATTGCGGCAACGCGTCACGTCTTCTCAGGTCGGGCGGAACTGTAGTGTAGGGTAGTTGTATATCATTGAATCAATAGATCGTGCCCAGTTCAACTCGTCGTCAACCAGGGGAGAACTGTGGCAACCGCGGCGTCTCTTGTCCAGGAGTCAGCATTTAATCGTCTAGAATGGGATTCAGCGGACCAACCTCCAAGAGAGGTGTGACTCGGCAAGGCCTGTAATGACCCCAACCGTTCTGGTCCGTAACTGCCGGTGGAATCGGGGACCAACTGTCCCTGCGCTAGGAGAGGAGGAGGCCCCGTCGGCGGCGGCGAGAGATCGGGGGCACGACCCGTCTCGAGCAGGATGCCCTCTGATGTGATGGAGGGTAATCGAGTCAAGGCAATGGAATCCGGTGACAGTCGTTGAGAAGTTGAGACGTTGGAGGATGAGGCAGGCGTGCCACTTGGTAGAGATGGCGGTGGTGGTACAGATGGTGGAGGGCCGACAGTAGTTCCTGGCACCACTTCGAATGTCCCGGACGAAGTGGACGATCGCGACACCACAGGAACATGGGGGCTGGGAACAGGCAAGGGCAGGATAATCCGGCCGCCAGGACCGACCAGACCCGAGTCGAGCCGCTGAGGAGGCACACCGAAATCGATTTCCGGCGTTTCCGAGGTATTGGACGCATTCGAACCATCCTATGAAACGTTGTCTTAGCAGCTTTCGCTCTGATAGAAGATACAATCGGGCAGACGTACAGTTTCACCGGCGTCCTCAATCAAGGCTCTGACTTCGGGAGAAACCATGGGCATGATCTGGTTTAAGAGAGTCTCATATCTGGCCAAGCGACGTGAGGTGGCTGTAAGATCCTCCGCGGTTCTGTAGGCAAATTTGGTCAGCATTTCCACTTTAACAAATACCAATTCACCATGATCGAAGCTGGCTGGTTCACTGACTTTCGCTTCCTCCATCCCTTGCCGTAGCCATAGTAGCAGGTCGTGCCGGTATGAAGGCATCGCCGACAGGCTGGCCGGGACCCGTCGCATTTTGTTTTTCGTTCACGACATGGTTCGCAAGCGTGCGAGGTGCGGGCACGTTCGGGTTTGTCCCACGTCGACGAGGTGGTGTTGTTGCTGTGGCCGTGACCGTGACCGTGACTCTGACTATTGGCATTGCTGTCGTTGTTGCTATTGCTATTGTTGGCGGGCCGAAATGGTGGACCACTGCCAGCGTTGGATAGATTCACCGGGGATGCACTGGGAGGCGGCGACAGACTATTGGAGGGATTAATGGGTCGCATATTAAGCCAGTGTATGGCCTTGCGCCGCGGCTTCGATGCAGAGAGCCGAAGACAACTTGAACAGGCCTGTAGCAGAAAAGGGCAAGCGATGGACTGAAAAGTCCAGCAGGTCTGGTCTAGACTTGCGCCCGTTCAACTAGAAGAATTGTCCTGCGAACAATAACGATGCAGAATGCCCAGTGCAGCGCAGTGCAGTGCCGTGCAGTGGTCGAGATATGTATAAATGCGGGCGGAAAAGAAAGCCAAATAAGATTCCGGAAGATTGCCAGGGTAGGGACGGGTTGATGTACTCCGTATAGAAGCAGCCAACAACTTTTTCGCCTGGTCGCGGTCTTTGCGAAGGGTTTCGGATCGGCGGCGGTGGATCAGGCGACAGGCCAAATCATGTCGAGTGTGGCAGCGAAGCCAGTGGTGGTGAGTGGTGGCGTCCAGTGGTAGGGGACGAAGGATGGTCCAGGGGTTTGCGAGGGGAACGGAAGGGGAGAACGGGGAGAGAAGTGTTTGAGAGGGTGACGAGCGACTGATGCAGTGACCTGTCTTGTCGTCAGAAGTATGTAGAGTAGAGCGCCGTGTCGCGGGAGGATGGTCGAGGGCGAGGGTCGACGGTCGAGGGACGGGCGACGAGAGTGGTGGCAGTGGCAGTGAAAAAAGAAGTGGACTGGTACGATTGCGGGTTGTTCTCCGGCACACGATCTTCAAGGGCAGATTCAGTAGTTAACTTTGAGTGGATATGGACGACGGAAGACGAGCCCGTCGAGGGTGCTGCGGCGATCCAGACAGCACAGCAGTAGCCGACACCCGTCGCGGGTGGTGATTGTGCTATCACTCACTGCAAGGTAGAGAGCAAAGAAGTGCGAGGAAAGATGGACTACCAGTGGATTAGTACTATTGTAAGTACTGTCCACAGCAATGGTGCTGGTGGCTCCGAAGGCTCCCTCGCAGTGCAATCCTACAGTACGTGCCTGTGGTGGTCACAGACGGAGAAGATGCGAGAAGTACCACTGGCATGCTACAGTCCTACCGGTACAAGTACGACGACCCATCAAGTCCTCCGATTCTGGTGCAATTGGGCCTCCCTGGGGCCAGCCCGGCAGAAGCCAAAAGGCGGAGGGAGGGTGGGCCAGCGTCGGTTGTTGAAGGGTCGAGATCGAGGTCGAGGTCGAGGTCCAGGTCCAGGTCCAGGTCCAGGTCCAGGTCGGCAGCCGGAAAGCATGGAGGCGAGCGGCCCACGAGGAACGATTCGGCCGCCGACGATGCGATGGAGCTGGAGATCAACTGGCGCCGGGACAATCATGATGGAGTTCTTGTCTCCTTGTTCAGGCCAGTAAACAGCTGGAGAAAACAGGACACCAAACGCCTGTTCTGCTGCTGGTTTTTTTGGTCGCAGCAGCAGTGCAGTGTCAATAAAAAATGTTACTACCCACTAGGTACCTAGGTAGGAACTCAGAGGCCTTCGGTCTCGCCGACTCGGAGCAGAAGTTGAACGTCACCCAAATGGTGTCGAGTTGGTACAGTAGGTACACTGGCACCAGCTGCAAGTGGTCTCGCGACTCGGACTAATCGACCCCTACTACCATCTTGGTTCTAGCAGGTCGTGGTAACATGGGCTCGCCAGTTGGGTTGGAGAACTAATACCACCTGGGTACTACTAGTACCTATAGTGGTGATGGTTGGTTCGCTCCCAGGCACTGCAGTGGCAGAAGCAGTCAAAGTAGCAGCTGGTGTAGGTTACTAGTAATAATAGTGCATGCACTGCCAGTGCAGTGGTAGTGGTCGCTACCAGGAACAGGATGAAAATTTGCAACGGCCCGAACAGGCTCTTTCCGCCTGAGGGGATGGTTCAAGCCCGTCATGCCTGAGAGCCGCAAGTTGAAGATCAGGTGCTCGTCGCCTGCAGTGGCAGCAGCATCATCGTGGTGTGCAGTGCTAGACAAGTGCTTATAGGCGTGCAGTGGGGAGACCTCAGTCACGGCCACTACCACTAGGTACCGTACAGTGCAGCAGCCTGAGTACTTTGACGCCCGTCCGAGCACGAACAGAGACCGGCGACTGCAACCGCAACCAAAACGCGAAGCAAGGCAAGGCAACGGCAACGCGATGTTCAGTAGGTAGTTGTTATTCGAATTTTGTGCACTACAAGCGACAGTTTTGGCGTTCGGAGATGGCGGGGGGGATCTCGACGGGCACTCAGCTTGAATCTGACCACCACCACCACCACCACCACAACAACACCACAACCACCTAGTCGATGGTAGAATTCTCTACGCACCGCGTATACAAATCTCCGCACAAGTTGCGGAGAGAATTCTGCCACCGACTAGGTGACAACCGCCACGATAACAGGCACGACAGCCGAGGGTCCGGATGACACCTGTCTACCAGGTAAGTTTCCTCGTTTATGTCGTGCCAGTCAGTGTCGCAGAGATGATTTCCGAGAAAAAAAGTCAATCACTCGCCCCGTAATCAAAGCTTCCTTTTTGAGCGCAGTGGGTGATGGAAAATGTTTCCAGTCGGAAGCAATTGGAGGACTCGGGTGTAAAGTCTCGTGTCTCTCGTGTCGCCATTTACTTCAACTTCTTGATGCCACCAATTTTCGAGATGCTCAAACTTGGCTTTCGCCGCATGCACTTACTGCAGTGGGTTCTAGCCTACCTAGGTACCAGGTAGGTGCTTCAAGTTAGAGAGGTAAATTGGAGCGACAGGCTCATACCTAATATCCTTCTCAAGCACTCGGTTATGCACTGATCACGCTACTTTATCTAATCTCGGGTGCATACCTACTGTAAGTACCTTAGGTACTGTACCTAGGTAGTAGCGAGGTAGTAGTATACCACTCTGGTATAGTGACCTCCAGACCGGACATTAATGAACACCTGCAGTTGTATGTCAAGGGGAAAAAGACCAGTCCAGACCTACTCGGAAGGAAAGTTGTGATTTGTGCAGTCAGCGTCACTGGCTGGTGTCTACAACAGTGCCTCGCTCATACCTCGCTGGTACTGCGGTGGTGCTGTAGATACCTGCTGCGTACTATGTAGTGTATACTCCTGACCTGTCCTCAACTAACCCCGTATCCTAGCGACTTCCGGCTCGGAAACATTCAGCGTATATCAATCCACTCTGAGTGTGCTAGTAGCCTCGTGTATACAGTGCCTACGGCGGGAATCACGTCTCCGTCAGGCCATCTGACTTTCTGGCATTCCGAAAAGTTACTAGGTAGTACTGCTAGTACGGCAGTTATTTCCGTGGCCAACCCGGCATCTCCCATGTTATGCCTAGGTATGGAAGAAGATATCCGGATGCGACGGCTGACGAAATTAGACACTGGCACACACGGAAGGACCACCTCTAATAAAGCAAAGTTTGGAACAGGAGGATTTGGATTTATTTTCCCGCGCTTAAGGTTCAGCCAGAGATGCATTGCTCGAGGTTCAAGGTTTGGGTCTCGACCCATCATTCATCGGGCCTTTCAACTTTATTCGGGTCATCGTCATCATCATCGTTACCTATTTTCATTGGCAATAGTACAGGTGCAGCCAGCGGTATCGCCGATCTGGCCCCTGACTTTGAAGTCTCAGATAACACATCAGCAAACTTGAACGCCTAAAGACCCCGGGATCCCAACCCTTGAACACTGCCTGCTTTACCCCGGCAGTGCCCACGCCTGTCCCTCTGACAGAGCCCCGTTGCCAGCTCTGCAACTTCTCATGAGATACGCCGATTCGTCCTGACTCACGGGGTCACCCTTTTGATATTGATACAGAGGTAGCTCTATTTGCTGCACAATCTGCGTTGTCGAGATTCTTGTCGAAAGGAGTTCTGAAGCGTATCAGAGATGACAGAGCAAAGTGACCGCAGTTTCAATACGTTACAGGTTTTCACCCTGTCAGGACAAACACTATATCGTGTTGACGACCTTCCGTTCAACGTCGAGGAGCTGTCCATCTGAAATGCAGCCAACCAGCTACACGTTCAAAGGTAGCCTTTTTCGGAGTAATATCTCTGTGCTCCGGGATGCAAAGGAAACGGTGCCTTTGCCATCTCCACCGGATTGAGAGGATATGTGAGCGGACTCTTCTCTGGCGGAATATGCTTGTACTGGACCTCAATGGCAGCTCTTGTCTCGACCAGACACCAGGTCAGCAAGTACGCAATGTCTTGGGGCATATCGTCGCGGACAAAGATGACAAAGTCGGAGAAGTCGAGCGCAGGTAGCTCGGTTTCCAAGTTTGCCCAGTATCCCTTAGGGAGACTGTTCGTGGGCAAACCGATCGAAGCATGCAGAGAGTCGAGCGCCGCCTGTTCAGCCGGCAATGGGATCAATCTGCCGGACTCAATCAATCCCCTCCACCAGGGCGTCATGATGGCCTCCTGCAGCACAGCGTCGGCCTCGCCTGTCTCCATGAAGGCAATGCACTGTTCAGGTCGATGGGCAGTAACAAATTTCCCACCCCAGGAATTGAGTTCTGCCTCGGAGATGCCATGGGCCTCTATGAACCGGCGGGCAACGAAGCCGATGAAATTCGTCCCATCGTGCGTGGACGTCGCGATCTTGAGAGGCGGTTTGACACGGCGCAGGTCGTCGAATGTCCTGATCTGCAGTTTCGTGTCGATCGCAAGAACCATCCGGTCGTTCTGGGGGAGCACGGCCAGCGCGCGGAGGTTCGGTAACGGCTTACCAGCAAACAGTGACCCGTCCTCGCCTGTCAGAGCGCTCTTGAGCAGCTTGGCTGGCGTGTTGATTGCCAGGTCTGCTTCGCCGTTCTGCACTAGGTACAGTGATTCAATCCCGCCGCCGCGGATGCTCCATGTCGCCACGCGGCTAAGGGGGCCTGCTCGGTCGCAAAACTCTTGCGTTAGCCATCCGCAGATCCGATGGAAGTTGGCTTGGCCCCAGTCCCCGATGAAGTTGAGCGTGTGCGATCGGGAGAGCCGTGGTCCGCTGCTGCGACTGAGCGCCAGGCTGGAGATATCGACCGTGGTCATGTTGGTCAGCGGTATGCTGGTGGATCGGTTCTTCGGTTTATTCGACGCTTGGTACGTTGTCTAACGAGGCAGAGCGATGAGCTGCTGCTGTTTCTCTTGTCTAAGACTTGAGGGAAGAATGCCTGGTCTCAACCCGACTTTTTGGTGGAGGCGTGCAGCGTCACTTACACAGTACAAGGAGGGTTCTGTTTGCTCCTCCTGAAACCACGAAGGACTTTTGCTAGTTTGTACTTGGCTGGGGCTCGGATAGGCTTCGCGAGATGCAGTGAGGCTGAGCGGAAGATATGGCGTGGAGCGGTCGTTATATAACTGACTGCCAGCGGTTGACTGACCGAGGCTCAGCTCTTCGTTTTTGTCCTCTTGTTGCTATCCGTCCAAACTCGAACTCTTATTAGTACGGGAGAATTGAATATACTGTGTCCCACCCCACACGGGGGCTACGCTGACCTTATATTATGACTTTGCTGGCAGAACCCGCGGTATCGTAGTGGATACACTACTAGTAGAGCTGGGCATCCCAAGGCTGTTCAACTGTCCACATCGCGATAAATGGGTCCACACACGCACCTCACCTAAGGTACGCACCGCACGGAGAGTTGATTTACGCTGACAGGCAGAGAACGGTGCTGGTTTGAAACCAGACAAAGACCTCGACGGCATTATTCAACCCCGCCACTACTACAGTACCATTCTACTACTGCTATCCGATCTTTCCCCATATTATACCCGATTGACATGCTCCCCGACATTGGCCCCATGTTTCGTCTGTTACTACCTTGCTATGCTCTAGTTATAGTCTCAGAGGGTCGGTTGTCGGAACCATTCTGGTTCCGAGTCCTTCGAATCCGAGTCCCCCACTACCCACTACCCACCCCCCCGGGCCCCTGAGTCCGGAGCCCCGCCGGGTACCTGGTAGGTCCAGATCCTGTACAACTGTGCAAGTGACCACTGACCGAGTGGACTGTCGACCTCTATGAGAGCTTTGGAAGAGCGTTGGTTAGTCTTTTTTGTCCAGACTCAGAGAGGCGAAGTGGAACATTGGCATCATATCAATAGGTATAACCTTGAATAGTGTGTCCGGGGATTCGATAGCGGATCTATCCTCGTCCTCCTCTACGCGTGTCGACGAGACGAGATTGTCATTGTATTGCGTTGATTTCACTTACACCTATCTCTGCCTCTTCGGACTCCGACACCCCAGGTCAAGTCTGCTTCTAATCATCATCGCCAGCAGTAGCAGCAGCAGCACTAGTAGGTATTTCCCATCCCACACCATATAATAGGTTCTGGTCCTCTCCATCATGGAACGATCCATTGTCACGGAACACCTGGACCAATTCCCCGACGAACAAGGAGACGGAGACAACCGCGTCCTTTCCATCCGACGCGATGAAGTCTTGTTGTTTGAGCACCCGACCCTCAAAGGAATCAAACTCCTCGAGCACACACCGCTAGAAGTCGTGCATTTCCCATTGGAATTTTCGCCGCAACAGTTTTCGCCGCCGCGGGGAGTATACGAGAGCGATTTTCTGCGGGTTGAATGGCAGCAGATGAACTCGTTCCGACAACCGTTCTACCACCGCAACGCCGACGTCGACGAGCTGTCGTACCAGGTGTGCGGAGAACGGACGCTGATGACGGAATACGGCACGGTCGAGTTGCGCCCCGGCGACTTCTCGCGCATTCCTGTGCGGGTGGCCCACGACAATTTTGGCCGGCAGGGAATCCATCTGTTATTTTATATCCCTGCGCCCGTGCGCGAGTGTGTCAAGGTCAACAGGACGGCGGGGCCCAAAATTCCCCCGTTTGACGGGTGGCAGGCCGCTACTGTCACCGAGGTCATGACGAATTGTCTTGGTGGGCCGCATTGCGATATTGCGGCTGCAAAGGCGGATGAGAACCTGTTGTTGAAGCATGCTGAGACGATTCGGGACGACGAGTATATTAGGGTTTTGAGGAGTGATGGTACAGACGAGAATGGAGTCACAGCCGCTCCTGGTCAAAGTGTCCTTGTAGCTGGACATTCTTCTCCCGGACCGCTGTGGCTGTACAAGTCGGCCGACGTGTGGATCGGGAGCACGCGGACGAAACCAAAGGCGGAGGACCATGTCAAGAATGGAAACGGAGCTGGAGCTGGAAATGAAGATGGAATCGTCTATCGCCGTCACTCCCGCGTCGAAGAAATCCAATGCCAAATCACCGGCTCTCGAACCCTTATCACCCAACGCGGCATCGTCCAACTCCACCCCGGCGACTTTGTTAACATCCCTGTCGGCGTGGCTTTTACTGATCATGTCGATGGTGATGCTGCATCGAATGGAGAAAGTCACCATATTTCTATCCTGACGCGCCATCCTTGTCCGCCGAAAGCACAGGTCGTGAGACAGGCGAGTCCTGCGACGTGGGACGCTGTGATGGAAATTCGGAATGGACGGAAAGACGTGTGAGGCGTGACATGACAATATCTACCTAGTAGGATAGGTACCTAGGTACCTACCTATAAGGTACACAGTTTGGAAGAGACGAAGAGAAGAATTGGTAGTAACACACTGTATGTCACAAAAATTTCTGCCGCTGCAATTCCTGCTTTCTCCCAACGGGTCCTGTACCTCGTCGGGGTTGTCTAGCCTGGGTACAATTCCTGTCCACAGTAGCATCCTCAGTCGCCAGCGGGTAGGCATCTATGTAGGTGGGTATGTTGGTAACTGTAATGTGGTGGTAGGTAGTGCGAAAGCGAGACCTTTGTCTTTCTCGGCTTCTGGCTTTTGCTACTGATTATCTAATCAGCTACTGCAGTGGCACGCACGCGTCAAAACTCCGTGACCACTTACATAAGCGTGTTGGGGGCAAGTGATCACGGAGTTTTGACGTCCGCTGTGGTGGCACCTCGGCGGGTTCCAATCCTACAATCTCCCACCTACACTATTACTGTTCCAACCATGCACTGTAAGTCAGTACCTTGGTAGTGTACTGTGGCTTGAATGACCCCATGGGGTACTACAGGACTAACCTGGGATTGTAGAGTACGGCCGGAATAAGAAATGCTCGCGCTGCGGCTCTCGCTCCCGCTCCCGCTCCCCGTCCCCGGTGGGACGCAGATAGATCATAGCACCCACAGACTGCAAAGACCAACGTTCAAAGTTCCCACCCATCTCGATGTCGGTGTCGTGTTCGTTGTCGGGTTTCCACACATGTGTGCACATGCGTAGGTATGCACCGCGCGCATCTCTCGGATCGATCCACTGCATCATACAGTGATCCTCTCTATCAACACCATCCGACATCGGTGTCGGCTTCCCACATCACATCATGAAACTGCCGGTGGGAAAAATGAAGCTTCAGTTTCTCGACCCCGCCCGCCCACTGGCAGTACTACTGGCAAAACACCATAAGGGGTTGTATCGGGATTCAATAATCAATCTCTCGATCAAAATCTGTGTTGGATCGGTTCGGCCTCGCTCGACTCCGGCGCCCGAACCGACACTGGGCCAGCTCAACTTCCAGCTGAGTGACAGCCCGAGGTCATCTGGCCTCTACACTTCCAGTTTTCAGTCAAACAGGAAGTGACGATCATCGCGCACAGAGAAATTTCATGGAGCGAGATTCGGTGAGTATAGCACAAGTACCACGGTAACCCTACTTCCTACTTCCCCGGAGCGGTGAATACTTGGCTACCTTTTAGTCTCGTCTCCTTTTGCTGCAGTGGTTCAGGCTGGGGAGTGAAAGAAATAAATACTGTATATACCAACACTGCCGTAACCGCGATTGGGATTACTTCTCTCTCTCTCTCTCTCTCTCTCAAACACACACAGTCTTTCACCGACGCACTACCTAAACCAGTTGTGACCCGTCCCTCATCAGCTACTAGCTAGTGAGTAAGTATCTTGACCAAGTAGCCGGACAACAATGGCGACAATATCAGGAACAACACCAGCACCGGCAACGGCAACAACAACAACAAACACGTCAGGACCCGACGCTCCCCAAACCATGAAATGCGTCCAACTGCACGAATACGGCGGACCCGAAGTCCTCAAAGTCGAAACGCAACCGGTCCCCACGCCCTCTGCCGGACAAGTATTGATGCGCGTGCGCGCGACATCAGTGACATGGTGGGACCTCGCGTTCCGACGAGGCTACCTCAAACAAATCACGGTACCGGGACGACGGGGATGGACGCTTCCCTTCCAACTTGGACGCGAAGCGGCAGGGGAGATTGCAGCGTTGGGAGCCGGCGTGAACACTACGATTGGACTCCAAGTCGGCGACAAAGTGGTGATGATGACATGTCCCGCCTGTGGCCATTGCCCGTTCTGCACTCAGGGCTACGACAACCTGTGCATCAGGGCCGATTTACCGGGCCACACGGCGCCAGGGGGGTACGCCGAATATCTCGTTCTGCGGGCCGAAAACGTGCTCAAGGTGCCTGAACCAACCACAACCGCTACTGGTAAAACACCACAATCTCAAGAACTCAATTGGGAAAAACTCGCCTGCTGTCTCTGGTCCTATGGGACCGTGTTGCACATGGTGGACCAGCGCGCGCGCATCCGACCGGGCGATTGCGTCTTGATCACGGGGGCCTCGAGCGGCATGGGCACCGCGGGGATCCAACTGGCCAAACTGGCCGGGGCGAACCCAATTATCGGCTTGACGGGTTCGCCGGGGAAAAAGCAGGCTTTGCTGGACGCCGGTGCTGATGTTGTGCTGAATTACAGAGATGACGATGTTCAGGCGCAAATCAGGAAACATACCCCGGGCGGATTCGGGCCGGATGTCGTGCTCGATATGGTCGGTGGCCATATGGCGACGCTGGCGATCCAGGTCGCGAGGCTGGGTGCCAGGATCGTCATGGCTGCCGTCATGGGCGGTCGTACGATCGAAGTGGATCTGGTCACGGTCTTTGCGAAGCATTTGGATCTGCTGGGGTCGCGGGCCTCGACGAGAGAAGAGCAGGCGAGATGTCTCAAGTTGTTGGTCGATGGGAAGATCGATCCGTTGATTTCCGATGTCTTGCCTCTGGACGATGTGGCTAGGGCTCATGAACTCTTGGAGCAGGGCACGCATGTCGGGAAGGTGGTGTTGAAGCCGTAATGATCAGATATTGGATTGAAAGCCTGGCGTGTCGACCAAGGGCCAACACTGGTATACTTACTACCTTAGTTAGTACTCCTCAAGCATGGAAAACGTGATTACAGTATCTATGTGATTGTTTTGGAAAATCCCACAGAAAAACCCTTTCTTAGATCATCAATCTTGCCTGGAGTCTATGCAGCTCGTATATACCTAGGTATGTACTGCATATATGCAAGCGTTCCAAGGTGCCAATTTCCAGTCCCTTGGGGTACATAATCTCCATCACCGTCGTCATTTCCTTTTCTATGATACCCTTTTTCAAGCACCCTCCTATAGCTTAGCTTGCTTCGCTTTGCCCAAGGCAGCGTCCATTCTCTGTCTGGTGAGAATGTATTGGCTCGGAAGATCCCAGTTGTTGCTGCTGCCCGGTGTCGTCGGCTGCCTTGGGTTTAGACTGGCCCCAACCAGCCCAGCTACATGTCGTCCGCAAAGGCCAGCATTGGTCATTCCATGACCAGAGTATCCAGCACACAGAAAAAGGCCCGGCGATCCAGGCACCGGACCGACCCAGGGATGCCCGTCGACGCTGGACCCGATGATGCCGGTCCAGGAAGCCGCAATGTCGAGCATGCCAGGAGAAGAGGATGACTGGTGCGCAGAACCTGACACGTCTCTTTCGGGGCCTAGGTCCAATCGTTCAGGTAGACTGCGAAGATATAGTTCGACCGTCTTGTCCACGTAGGAATCGTCGCTCACGCCCACTCCGTTCCGCGGAGGAAGGTGTCTCCCGCCGCCTAACATGAGATGGCCGCCACCGCCTGCTCCCCGGTTGCTTTTGTCCACATGCGGATTCTGCACGAGATAATCCCCCATGACCCTATCTTGACTGCCGATGCCATTGAAGCCATAACTCATGGGAAGAAGACGGCCTGTCGAGAAGGGAGAGTGGCGAGGCGGAATAAGAGCCGACATTTGCGCCTGGACAGGAGATATCAAGGTGCTGAATTCCGGTAGGATGTGCGAGGTGTATGCATTTGTTGTAATAATGACATGTCTAGCTTGGACGGGGCCGCGAGTCGTACGGACTAGCCAGTTGAACTCCGGATTGATATGGTTGCCTGGCACAGTTGTTGCATGCTGTCTCTCAATAGCTGTGACGGCTGTCTTGGTCTGGAGATTCAATACCCCCTCATCAAACCTTTCGAGTAGCCGCTCCCACATCCAAATGACGAGCTTGTAAGGGCTCAACGACGCCGCAACTTCCTGCACAATGGCGCCCACGGCGCCTGGTTGGAGTCTGAGCTGTCTTAACTCGTGTGCATCTTCAACGACGTGCACTAGTTTGCGATGCTGGGGGCTGGTGATGGCCGCCACCGGTGCTGCTGGCTGGGTTTGCGATGGAGCTGGCGTGTCGGACGTTGAATCTGGACGAACATGCCCGACAGCTGCAGATGTGGGCTCCCCTAGAGCAGCTTTGGCTTCTTCGAAATATTCCTTGTTCCAAAACGCGACGCATCCACGAAGCCTGCGGAAGTCGCAGGGGATGTCGTTGTCGCGAACCAGACTTTCGATATGTCGAAAATTGCGGAGTTCAAAGTCGATGATGGGGCTGCTTTCGGCGTGGATGACTGGTTGTAAGTGGCCGCCATTCCGGCCTGTAGCGGCAGAACATGTAGTCCTGGCCTCTAGCACTAGAAGCTCGACCTCGACCTCGTCGTCGCTGTTATTGTTGTGGTGGTGTTTTGGATTAGAGTCTTTGTCTTTGTCGGGGTGTAATTGACGAAGCAGCTCGTCTACGGCGAAAGTCCCTGACATGCCTGTGCCGATGACCACCACGGCCGCCTTGGATGGGAGATCCGGCGTCGAGCGGTGGTCTGCAATTTTGTTGGGATGGCATGTTTGCCAAAACGATGCTGTGGGATTGGGTGATGGAAGACTGGCTGGCCCTGTTGTGACTGGGGGAGGGTTGCCGTCGCTCATGCCTATGGTTTTGACCCGGCGTACGCTGGCAGATGTCGGCCCTCGTTGTTTGTCAGGTCGCCGAAGTGCTGAGTTGGACTGTTCCAGCTTCCTGTTTACTAGCCAGAATTAAGGTGTACTACTAGGATCGATGTTCGAGGTGCTTTTTCAAGCTGGTATCTTCTCGCCAGCCCAATCCTTGGGGGCCCCCCAACCCGCCGCTTCCACCTTCCCCAGCTTGACTACTAGTATCGGGAGATCTTCAGGATGTGCTCCACTACTACGAGATAACCACCTCCACCTGGACGGAAGACTTGACCTTGTGAGAGGACAAATATAAAATTACAGCATCTATATTTGCTACGAGGATGTTACCCCGAGGGAACCGTCGCACCTGGCGCAACGTGCCTCGGTAGCAAGCCGACTTTGGGCGATGTGGGTTGGAAAACGATAGTTGGATTGGACGGAACGCATGTCCAGTTGTGCTGATATTCCCCTACCAACGTGCGAGGCTTTAGATAGGACAACTACTGCCCAAAGCCGCTGTTGAATGAAAAGGACACAACCGCATTGCCTGGGCCATCTCACGCACCGACTTCGGTGCCCCTGCCGTAAGTTCGTGGACCTGCTGAGGAAGCACTTCAGGCGCTGCATCGTCAGCAGCACTTTCACAAGAGACAAGGGCATGGCCCTGCGGTGGAAGTGGTCCATTCAAGTCGTGATCATTCTTCCTCCGTTGTAACAGAAATTGTCTGCGGTCCATGGCTCTCTCCCAAACGTACTTCCAATGATCCCCGACCTCGTCCTTCCAGCAAAAGTCTCGCAGGATCTTTTCCAACCGCGGCCACTCACGTGCCTCCAAGTACATCTCTAAAATGTGGTCCATAACTACGTGGGATTCCGGCATAGGCGCGACTCGAAGCCCCAATGCACCGGCGACAGCGAGACTCGCCCAAATCATACAGTGTTGCTCCTCTTTTGACAAATTCGGCGCATGGCGGGGCATGGTCTGAATGAAGTTGCGAAGAAGGGGATCATGGAAGAGGCTCAGCGGTTCCATTCCACGGAGTTGGAACATGTATGCAATGAGGCCAGATGTAAGATGATATTCAATGGCTGTCTTGGTCGTCAGGTACATGCGTTGCAACGAGGATAAGATGACTTGAATCATGACCTGACGCCTTCCGTGTTCCCGGCGGGCTGCTGGACACACATGCGCGTCCTGTGGTGCGCTGTCCGGATCTGCCAAAGTGTTGGCAGCTGAAATTGATGCGAGGAGCTTGATCATTTGAACCGATATCCGAGACCTCAGACTGAGTTCCGAAAGACCGGGTGGGAGTTGCGAGAGAATCATACACAACTCGGGCGAAAAGGGTGTCTGAGGGTAAGCCAACGGTTTATAAAGATCCAGCTCCTCAAAGGCTTCCTTGGTATATGCAGGCGAGTCTGAAGGAACCTCAGGCGCCTGGCCAGTCACAAAAGATCCCAGAGACTTGTAGACAACCAAGCTGAGCTGTACAAAAGTGACCCAGTCAGACTGTGGCCGTGACTCTCCGACCGGGGTCAACGGACCCCGAAGCTGGATCATTTTGTCCAGTCCCTCACAATGCATGCGTACTCCGTCATGGTTGCCAATTAGGTATTCCGTTGTCATCAACATCGTCACTGTCAAGAGAGCCGCATCATCGGTGCAGTCATCTGACCGGATTTTGGCATTGAGACCCGCCATCGCATTCCCACGGTGTTGGACGAATGCAACATCCTCGAAAGTCGGCCTGCCCAACGAAAGGAGTATCGAAGCTCTGCAAACTGCGATGATGGACTCGAATAGAACCGAATGCTTGAGAGCAAAAGGTAGCAGTAATGAGAGATGGGGGTTCACCGGGCCAGAGGCCGACGAAGACGCATTTCCCATGCCGTTGCATGTCGTTATAAAGAAGTCCATAGTATGTTGCACGCACTCGGTTGCTTTGATGGGCAACACCGTGAATGGATCGACCCGGATTCCATTGGAAGGCAAAGGCTGAACCGGAGAAGGTATACCTCTGGTGGATTTGGAGCATTTCCTCAGCCTATGCTTTGCGGTTGGTGCCGGACGCGATGCAGTCTCTTGTGTGTTTGAACTTCGTAGCGGAGACTCAGGAGGATGCCATTGTATAAACCTGTCGGAAGGGACCTTTGATTCCCAGTGGGATAGGTCGTATGTCTTCCAGCGAATAGTCTTACATTTGCCTGTCCGCTTCCTGGCGCAGCGTGCTGGGGCCTGGACCGCCGACTCTTGATGCACGAATGGAGTTTCTGTAACCGCCATGGAGGGTGTGCTCGGCAGGTCGATAGTTTGACTATTAATAAGCAAAAGGAATCGGGGCCGACGCGCGAAGTTGGTCGTTGAACTTGGAGTCGTCGAGATGATTTATCAGGGCAGCATCGTACCTGGTGTTGTGTCATCGTACCATAATTCTTCCGGTCATGACAGCCAAGGAATACGTGCCGTGTGACTATAAGATGCGTCTTTTGATATGCTCGGCTGTCAGCTCATGCAGTGATGTTCTGCGCTTTCAGGCGCCCTGCATTTGCCCCTGGGTCGGAAACGAGTCCAAGCCAGGCGCCGTGCCAGGGTTGGAACATTATGACTGCCTTAACTACCGGGTAGTGTCACGGCATTTTGCCGCTGATACAGCAGGCGGCCGTCGACATCACTGTTGTATCTCTGGATCTAGCTCACTGGCCTTCGCAGGAAGTGCCCCTTCAGGGGTGGCATTATCATCTTGCTCAGGCCCCTGTTCGATCAGGTATTCGTCGCCTTCTTCTGGCTCTTCATATCCTTCGGCGGTATCAATGTCACCAGTGTCGCGAGTCTCGGACCTCTCAATGAAGCTAGGTCTGGCGGAAGGCTTGCTCTTGCTAAGCCTCCCCTTTCCACCACCACTGGCGGTCGGCAAAGAACCCTGCAACGTGCGGCATAGGGCTCGATATGCACTTGCCCACTCGAGCTCTTTTTTACTCGCCTTTTTGGGTAGATACCCTGCCACCGGATCGCCCCATTGGTCGTAGCCCTTCCCCGCGTCAACGCCGTCGAAGGTTTCGGGCAACTTCGAGAATCTCTCTACTGCCCCTTCGTCCAAAGTTTCACCACTACCAATGGCGTCAACCTTGGCTTTTAGGATGACCCGAATCTTGGCCATTGTTCCGTTCTGATACCAGCCGAAATATCGTCTCTCGCACTCGTGTCGAATGTAGAGCTCTGGCACGTCGACCAATGCCTTGAGTTGAGGGTCTTGCAGGTCGCACAGTTGCCACACCTTACCATCCGGAGGGATATCGTGCTTGCCTGTGAAAATATGAGATGTCTTGTTCTTGCTGCGAACCCAGTCCTGGCCGAGACTGTCTCGGTTCTCAGCCGCCTCTCGGTTACTGCGCGGCAACAGCTGTATAAGAACACTCTGGTACTTGCGGTAAGCGCGATTTGTTCTTGGGTCCACCCCTAGTTTACACACAGTGTCCCGCCAGGGTCCTGATCGTATCGCGAATGCAACATACGCCAGAAGGTGCTTCACTAAGAATACTGGGGCGTCATCAGGGAAGTGGTTGAGTAGAGCTCGACGGGTCCAAATCGGTCGTTCATCGAAAAGATCCTTCAGCAGTTTGTATACCCTTTGATGGGCATCGGATAGGTCTGACAGAGGAACGCAGCCCGGATCTGGTGCATCCGGCCACTTCTCGTCGTCATATTGGCACTGGTATGTAAGTAACTTTTTGGGTGCCTGGCTATTGCGTAAAACTGCTTTACCAGTAACAGGATCGGTTACCATCTTTACAGCTTGGTTTTGCCGGTAAGTGTAGTTCAGAGGGAGACTCTGTGTCGACCACACTGGTGGCGGAAATGTTTCAGTGTTTGTGAGACCGTAAGTCTGAGGAAATGACCATTCTTTGAGAAGTGGATATTCCCCAGGGAGAATTTTGGTCTGCAATTCGGTCAGGAATGCAGATCCGGAGGCAGAAAAGACATAATCCGGCATAGTCCGCCATATGTGCGTTGATCCAACAATACCCACAACTTCGGACTGACTTCTGTGAGGATTATCTCGTAAGGACCGTATAAGGTAAGCAGCATCCTTCCTGGGAGGAAGAGAGGCATGGGGCTCTGTAAATGGTTCGTCAGAGCCACGCTTTCTTTTCCTTCCTGTCCGCTTTGGGACCGTGAACTTGAGCAATAGATTGTCTGTCCTTTTGTTGAAAGATACTACCGTTCGGCTTGCGGGATCATCTGGCTGGAATTTGAGTCCCAACGTTCTGTCAGTCCCAGGAGCCAGGCACTGTGCAACCTCCTCAGGGCCTCCAAGCATTTGCACAGCCCGGTCGACATTTTGCACAATGCAAGGATGCTCGATAGAAACAATAGGCGTATTTGGAACCGGATACCAAGGCGCAGCCTGAGTTTCCAGAGGGTCGGTCATTATGCCAGTGTAGACCGTGCGATCTTCCTTGCAGCTCGAAACGGGGGTAAGATATTATGATGGTGGAAGAGGACGCATTCACTGGCGCAATCCTACTATCGTCAAGACAGCCAGGTCCCTGCGCCCACAAGCGGCTGGAGTGCATATCATAAGGCTCAACTAGAAAGGGTCAAGAGGATGCATGGGCAGCAGATGAGCTGGACAGCGAAAGCGTGAATAGAACCCGCAACTGGGGCCTTGTTTATAGCAGGTGGCGTGTATTAATGTTCACTTTCGCATGTTATTGTAGTCTAGCGCCACCTTGTTGGTGATTAGCAGTGGTATAGTGCTTGACTTCAACACTAGAGACAGCCTAATTACATTCACGGTTAGCGCAGTTACGGCTTAACAGCCATCGCCGGTAGGCTGCGACCAAGGGAGAAATCCCCCGCCCAGAAAGACAGCACTGGCACTGCAATACGACGACAGCGATTAAACTGGAGAAACAAGCAAGCCACTGACTGAAGCCACTTGCACCGACTGCACTGCCAGTGACTTACTTGACTGACTGACGAGCCTCCACCAGCTGCAACACCAACTCTTCGACACAACAACTCATTCATTGTATTCAACTCATCCATCCACTGCACGACGGAGCCAGTCCGTCCTCGACCCGCGCTGACCACCCTTTGGCTTGCTCCTTGCCTTGCTTGTTTGCACTCTCACTTCTTCAATGGACGCGCTCTTGCCTGCATCATTCGACCCCGAAGCAAAGTGCCAGAACCGTCTCTAATTCAAGGCTACCTCACTACCGGCCGCCCCCTTCAACACGCACGATCCTGTAACGCGAAGTTGTAAGTCCCAACTTAACTTGGACTCCTTGCGCCATGGCTAACCTTAATTCCACAGTCCGTTGTGTTGCCGTCCAACTGCGCTGTCCTGCCCCGTCCTGGACGATGAGGAATTGACGAACCTACAAACCTACGCTACGATTGTATCCTACACCACGAACCCCGTCAAAGCACAAACAAAGCGGTCCATCCTCGGCGTCGAACCTAGTGATTTACTCTCACATCAACACCTTTACATTCACTCCTACCAACACAACGCCGAGCACCTGTCTCGGCAAGCCGCCTGTTCCTGGGGGAGATAAGGTGAAAGTGGTTCTGACAAGATGAAAGGCTTCAGGCAAAGAGTGGTAAGTGAAACTGCGTTCAGCTTTGATGTCTTGTTGTCCCACATGGCGATCTTTCACCCACTGAGTTAGGGCCTGACTATTGACTGATTTCCAGCACGAGCAGTTGTCGAGAGCGAAGGATTCAAATAAATCTTCGAAAAAGAAGGACTCGAGTTCGGCTACAGCATCCCCGCTCTCGACTTCATCGACCGTTGCCGGTGGTGATTCAAAGTCGCCGAACAGCTCTAACGCTGCCACCCCGAGTTCCTCGACTACGAACGTGACTGACGTACGGGCCAAAAATGCCAACAACGAGGGTGCCACGGGCGGACATGCGAACACTCTTCAGCCTGGAGCGCATACAGTAGGGTCAAGCCCTGGGAGCCAACATTACATACAACAAAGCTCTGCCCATGGAGCTGGTGGGCCCGCAACTCCCGGCAGACAAGGCGGACATCTTGCCCCGAGTGTCATCATAAGCCCAAGTGCTCCTCACATACCGCAACCAGGCGCGACCGAGACCATGCCGGGCGACCTCGCGCCGCCGAAAGCAGGCCAAAAGTCTCTACTTTTCGACCGCCTCCAATCGACACCTAAAGATGTGGCCGAGGGAATCCGGACACCGAAGAGACAGCACTCATCTCGGTTTGACGTTTCAGATCAGCGCTCTCGGGAGTTGGAAAAGTTACCCGGCTTCCACGAAGTGCCTCCGAATCGAAGACAAGAGTTGTTCATGCAGAAAATTGATCAGTGCAATATCATCTTCGATTTCAATGACCAGACGGCGGACATGAAGTCCAAAGAAATCAAGCGACTAGCTCTGCACGAGTTGCTGGATTATGTCGCCAACAACCGATCGGTCATCACGGAACCAATGTACCCAAAGGTTGTGGAGATGTTCAGCAAGAATTTGTTCCGACCGGTTCCGCCTCCTGTCAACCCTCAAGGTGAGGCCTTTGATCCGGAAGAGGACGAGCCAGTGCTCGAAGTTGCCTGGCCTCATATCCAGGTTGTCTACGAGTTTTTTCTGCGCTTCATCGAAAGCCAAGATTTCAATACCAACATCGCCAAGCAATACATTGATCACCACTTTGTCCTTCAGTTGCTCGAACTTTTCGACTCTGAAGACCCTCGAGAACGGGATTTCCTGAAGACCACTCTTCACCGTATCTACGGCAAATTTCTGAACCTCCGCTCATACATCCGGAGATCCATTAACAATGTCTTCTTCCAGTTCACCTACGAGACGGAGAGATTCAATGGGATTGCGGAACTCCTGGAGATCCTGGGGTCCATCATTAATGGCTTTGCACTCCCACTGAAGGAAGAACACAAATTGTTCTTGACCAGAGTCCTTCTTCCACTGCATAAAGTCAAGAGTCTCAGCATGTACCACCCACAGCTGGCTTACTGTATCGTTCAATTTCTGGAGAAGGACTCGGCATTGACGGAAGAGGTACGAAGAGTCATTGCCCACTGTCCTTTATGTTTGCTAACCACTGTGCAGGTCGTTCTCGGTCTCCTCCGTTATTGGCCGAAGGTCAACAGCACGAAGGAGGTGATGTTTCTCAATGAAGTCGAGGATATCTTCGAAGTCATGGACCCACAAGAGTTTGCCAAAGTTCAAGAGCCTCTCTTCAACCAGTTGGCAAAGTCTGTCGCTAGCCCCCACTTTCAGGTGTGTACTCCTCCCCAACATTGGTCCTTTGAGTATCTTGCTTATCGCATGGCAGGTTGCCGAACGTGCTCTCTATTTCTGGAACAACGAGTATTTCTGCAATCTCGTTAGTGACAATGTTGAGACCATCCTCCCGATCATGTTTGCTCCGCTGTACGAAAATTCCAAGGGCCACTGGAACCGGTAGGTGCAACATTCATGACAAAAGGCTATCGGAGAAGCTGACATGGCAAAGAACAATCCACGGCATGGTTTACAATGCAATGAAACTCTTCATGGAGATCAATCCGCAGCTCTTTGACGAGTGTTCCCATGAATACAATGAGCTTCAAAATACTGCAGCACAGCGCGAGAAAGAACGCGAAGCGAAGTGGGCAAAGCTCACCGAGCAAGCCAACAAAAACAGAGAAAAACTCGCAAAACCACCGTCGACTCCCACAATCAAGGAAATTCCGGAGACAGATGCCACGCAAGACAATCAAGAGAGACTGGATGCTCTGAAACTGCATGATGAGTCGACGTCTTCCAAGCCGTCTACAGTAAGTGTTACCTCCCGTTAGGAGGCACGTGCGCGGTGGCTTTCTTCGTCATATCTTATCTTTTCATTCGCTAAATTACTCTCGTATCTCTATAGTGACCTTGATGACTCTTTCTAACATCCCGTGCGATACTTCAGAGGCGACGAGCAGATTCACATGGCCACACACGAGTTCGTCGGTCTAATAGCGGCTCTGACGGGAAGTCCAGAAGGCATCGTGCTCAGTCCGGCTCGTCGGTTGATCTACATCGGAAGACCCCACATGTGCACCGGCGTGGCAGTGGAACCTCACAGCATTGAGTCCGTGTATCTGCTGTACAATAAGCTCTCGTGGGTTCCAGTGCACTCGGCCGGGGATGAATATGGCCCTCTGAGCGACCTTCGACTTTGTGTGATTTTTGTGTATTCCGTACTGGCAGGCCTCTAGCGTCGCTTTCGCCAACGTCGGCATTTGGGTGGGCAATGTTGGCTTCTAGGGTAGCGGTAGGAATGGGGTTACGGGGCCTCAGATTGTGGCCTCCCGCATGATGATACGTGCAATGTGGCTAAACAGGATTTGGAGGCATCAGGAGAGGTGCGTTGCGCATGGAGCTAATGGAATTTGTTGGTGTGACGATGAGAAAGAATACATATTTCGTGGAGGGGCCTGTTCTATGTTGAAGGTAGAGCCTGGCAATGCCAGACTCGCATTGTCGGCAGCGAATCTCAAACTTTGTCCCCTGCTTTCACTGCGTCCCAGTGCAACGGAACCTCATCTTGCTCGCCGTGGCTCTGGGGTGATCACATCCGACTCTGGTCTCTCCTAGAGAGCCGTCTCCTACTATTGGTAGACGACTGAATGACTAAGCATGGCGCTAGCCGTGATGCACGTGATTGCACGATACTTGATATGGTTAGACTCTCTCCGCTAGCGGGCTCGCAGTTGCGTCGCGACCGCCCGCGATTTTGATGCGTCTCTCCCTCCTCTCGTCTCCAACTGTAAAAGTCCCCCATCTTTGTGTAGTAGACCCAGTGCCAGTGCCGGTCGCCGGACTCTCTCAACAAGGCACTTCGAGGCTACGGGGCACTTCACTATCTCATTCCTTTCTATTATTCTTTGATCAGATACTCGAGGATTCCTTCGGTGACCTCTGTTTAATCGAGCGCACTCGGAGCGTCACACCGTCTGCTTCTCATTCAATCCTGCGACACCGTTATCTGCGATTCTTTAGGTACTTAATGGACCAGTCCACTTTCAAGGCCTCATGAAGTTGCTCGGCTGTTTTGCCGCACTAATTACTTGCTCGCGGTCAACACTCTCTGCCTGTCGAGGCAGGTGGGCGTCGACCGGTGATGTCCTCGACCATGGACGCCTCTCAGAAGATCGACCTCTATGCCGCGAGGCTCAGTGACCCCAAGATCGGTACGGGATATCGGGTGTATTTGTACACGGTCACTTTTAACTGACATATACCTGCATTAGACACACGGACGAAGTCAAACATAGCCACAGAACTTCGCGACTCGACCGAAAACCTCTGCTCGGTGTCGGCAACCTACACCAAGTTTCTCACAAAACTATGGCCAGTGTTCAAGAAGATTCTTGAAGGGAAGCCCGATTTCAATCCTGCCTCATTCGAACATGTCCTGCGAAATCAAATATTGGAGATCCTTCACAGATTACAACATGGATCCGCTGAGTTCGAGCCCTATGCGCTGGACATTGTTGAGACGCTCATGGAGCTGGTCCGGGTGGAGAACGAGGACAACGCTGTTCTCTGCTTGAAGACAATCATGGATATCGAGCGACACCAGCCGACCGCAACGGCTTCGAAAGTCCAACCTTTCCTTGACCTCATCCAGGAGATGTTTGAGTTGATGGAACAGGTCGTTCGCGAAACCTTTGACTCGCCTGTATCTCATCATCAAGCGACGTCGTCCACGCCACATGCCGCAAGCCAAACTTTCCAGTCTCCCCGGCCGGGCTCTCCTGCTACAACGGTTTCCGATCCCGGAACTGAGAAGAGAGAGCACACACCGCTGGCCAAAGGCATGCATTCTTTCAAGGTTCTCTCGGAATGCCCCATAATCGTCGTTTCCATCTTTCAAGCACATCGTAACACGGTGTCTGCGAACGTCAAAAAATTCGTGCCGTCGATCAAAGGGATACTGCTTTTACAGGCGAAAGCGCAAGAAAAGGCGCATGCTGAGGCTGCAGCGAACAAAACCGTTTTTACTGGTGTCAGCAAAGAAATCAAGAACCGAGCCGCGTTTGGGGACTTTATTACTGCGCAGGTCAAAACCATGAGCTTCTTAGCCTACCTCCTACGAGTCTATGCCAACCAGTTGACGGACTTTTTGCCAACATTGCCGACCGTGGTCGTCCGACTGCTGAAAGATTGTCCACGAGAGAAGTCCGGTGCTCGCAAGGAGCTGCTTGTTGCAATTCGCCACATCATCAATTTCAACTATCGCAAGATCTTTTTGAACAAGATCGATGAGCTGCTGGATGAACGCATCCTGATCGGAGATGGGTTGACAGTGTATGAGACCATGCGGCCGCTCGCTTACAGTATGCTTGCCGATTTGATCCACCATGTTCGCGATTCACTGGATCGCAATCAGATCCGCCGGACGATCGAGGTCTACACGAAGAATCTCCATGACAACTTCCCTGGAACCAGTTTCCAGACCATGAGTGCCAAATTGCTGCTGAACATGGCCGAAAGCATCACTAAGCTCGAAAACAAAGAAGAGGCGAGGTATTTCTTGATCATGATACTCGATGCGATAGGCGACAAGTTTGCGGCCATGAACTACCAATACAACAATGCGGTCAAGCTCAGCAAGCAGTATGCAGATAAGACCAAGGAGAACACGACCGAGTCGTACATGGACGACAAAGAGCAAATACCGGATTGGGATGAAGTGGACATATTCAACGCAACACCGATCAAGACATCTAATCCACGTGAACGAGGAGCAGATCCAGTGGGCGACAACAAGTTCTTGTTCAAGAACCTCGTTAATGGCCTCAAGAACATGTTCTACCAACTGAAGACATGTAATCCCCCGGGTTTGGCCCTTGACCAAGCTAGCGCGCCGATGAACTGGTCTGAAGTTTCCTTTGGCTACAATGCCGAAGAGACTCGTGTCATAACCAAGCTTTTCCATGAGGGTGCTCGCGTCTTCCGGTATTACAGTGCCGAAACCCCTGTGCCCGATCTCCAATACTCTTCTCCCGTGGAATTCATGGCAAGCCACTCAATGGCGCAGATGACGCGAGACGAGAAGGAGCTCCTAGAAAGCTTTGGGACTGTCTTCCACTACATCGATCCTGCTACGTTCCACGAAGTTTTCCAGGCCGAGATACCTTATCTGCACGAACTCATGTTTGAACACACGGCACTTCTCCATCTTCCTCAATTCTTTCTGGCGAGCGAAGCAACATCGCCTGCATTTGCAGGAATGGTCCTCCAATACCTCATGAACAAGCTACCAGAAGTCGGGTCATCGGACATCGTCCGCTCATCAATCCTCTTGAGGATGTTCAAGCTCTCCTTCATGGCCGTTACCCTCTTCTCCGCCCATAATGAACAAGTCCTGCTTCCGCATATCACAAAGATCATCACGCAATGTGTCCAACTGTCTGTCACCGCGGAGAAACCGATACATTACTTCATTCTGCTTCGGTCTCTATTTCGAAGTATCGGTGGCGGACGCTTTGAGCTTCTCTACAAGGAAATTCTACCCCTACTGGAGATGCTGCTCGAAACTTTCAACCATTTGCTGCAGGGGGCGCGAGATCCGCACGACCGCGATTTGTATGTGGAGCTGACTTTGACCGTTCCCGCTAGGCTGAGCCACCTCTTGCCACATCTGAACCATCTCATGCGTCCGTTAGTGGTTGCCTTGAGGGCAGGCCCAGACCTCGTTGGTCAAGGTTTGAGGACCTTGGAGCTCTGTGTGGACAATCTGACGGCGGACTACCTGGACCCTATTATGGCGCCGATCATGGATGACCTGATGACTGCTCTATTCGAGCACCTCAAACCACAGCCGTATCAACATTTTCATTCGCATACCACCATGAGGATCCTGGGCAAGCTTGGTGGACGCAACCGCAAATATCTGAACCATCCACACCAATTGACATATCGTCGTCATACCGACGACGAGCCCAGCTTCGATATCCGCCTCGTTGACACCATCCGCGATCGAGCTTTCCCTCTTGACACAGGGGTTGACTTGGCCATTCGCAAACTGGGTGAAACTACGAAGAACCCGAAATGCAAGGCCCTGGATGCATATTACAAACAGCAGTCGTTCAAACTCATTACGACCCAAGTGAAACTGCTTATTGGTTATGATCACATACCGGATGATCTGTCTGCGCTCCTTCGACTTCAGGCGAATGACCTTCTTGCTCGGCGATTCACGACTTATGCAGACATGCTCGCCGACAATGAATTGAGCAAATCAGTACTGAAGCGGAGAGAGCAAGAAGAGACCCTGAAGAAGTTGCTAAAGGCGTGCTTTACGGCAACAACTGTGCAGGATCTAAAACCTCAAGCCGAGGCGTTCATCCAGAACATTGCTCGTCATTTCACCATCGTTGAGCTCGGGCAGGCTTTGTGTGACGCCGGCCGAAGAACGAAGGAGTTTGATGTCAACCTCGGTGAGGGCGCTGTTCACCTGAGCACTAAGGTCCTTGCCGACGTGATTTGCTATTGCCTGGCTTCGGATAATATCGTCATTCGAGAAGCGGCAGAAGCTGCAATCGTTGCAACTGTCGATGCTGCTCGTACCATCTTCGGCGGCGAGGAAAAGGCCGCTCGACTTCCCTTTTTCTCTCATCTCATTCAGACGTTTTGCCACAGATGTCGCGAGGTCGAGTGGTTTACCAAAGCTGGCGCCACTCTGGGCATACAGATTGTGATTACGAAGCTTGACTTAGGAATTGCTTTTCTCAGCAGTAAACAGCTCGAAATCATTAAGGCTTTGCTGTTCGTCATCAAGGACACGCCACAGGAGGTTCCAGCAAGCACACGCATTACTGCGCAAGACACGCTCGAGTTCATTCTTCGTAAAGTCTGCGTGGGGCAGACCCGAGAAATGCTTGCCAATGACAAAAGCACCATCCACGCCCTTTCAATCACATTCTGTGTCGAGCTTTGTCACATGAACAAGCATACACGCGATACGGCGCAACGTGCATTCTCGGTCATGGCGGAAGTGGTAGGTGTCGAGGTGCACGAATTGATCGCTCCGGTCAAGGAACGGCTTCTTCAGCCCATCTTCAACAAGCCGTTGAGGGCCCTGCCGTTTCTCTCACAGACCGGTTTCATTGATGCAATCACATATTGCTTGAGCCTGGGACACGACCTCGTCCCGTTGAATGACCAATTGAACAGGTTGATGATGGAATCCCTTGCCCTTGCGGATGCCGATGCCGAGATTCTGCATCCGAGACCTGACGAGTACAACAATGCACAGCTTATTGTCAATCTCCGGGTCTCGTGCCTTCGGCTACTTTCGCTCGCCATGAGCCTACCAGACTTTGCCACAGGACCTCAGAATACGAGCCGTGCGCGCATCATCACTGTTTTCTTCAAGTTACTCTATTCAAAGTCGCCTGAAATCATCGAAGCTGCCAATGCAGGTTTGAAGGAGGTTCTAGTCCAAACCACAAAACTGCCCAAGGATTTGCTCCAAAACGGTCTTAGGCCGATTCTGATGAACCTTCAAGACTCAAAGAGACTCACTGTCGCCGGTCTGGAAGGTCTTGCAAGGTTGTTGACGCTGCTTACCAACTACTTCAAGGTGGAGATCGGAGGTCGGTTGCTTGAACATATGAGGGCAATCGCCGACGACCAGCTGCTTCAGAGAGTCTCTTTCACTCTCATCGAGCAGAATCCCCAGATGAAGATCGTTACGGCTATCGTTAATATCTTCCATCTCCTTCCCCCAGCAGCCACCAGCTTTATGCCCGATCTCATCAACAACGTCCTGGACCTGGAGACAAAGCTGCGCCGTACCGTGGCAAGCCCTTTCCGTCATCCCTTGATACTATACCTCGACAAATACCCTCAGGAGACATGTTCCTTTTTCCAGTCACGGCTTCAAGACGAGAAGTACGGCCGATTTTTTGGGCAACTTCTGGCCTCCCCTTCTAGTCCGAGTTTACGCGACGCCGTGATGAAGAATACTGAAGCCCTGGTCAAGGCTGCGTTTGAGGTTGAGAAAGGCCCAGAACGACAAACTGCGGCGATCAATGGTATTTATGTTGTACACTCCGTTTGCCAATTTGATGCGGCCAAGGATTGGCTGCGTGGACAAGAGCAGCTTCGAGTGAAGGTTTTGGGAGCTGGCAGAGAACTGGAGCAACAGCTTCGGGGAGACTTATTACAGCCTTCGCAGAGACTCCGTGCCGAACAAGCTGGGGATCATTTGATGGATATTTTGACCCATTATCTTGCCTCTGCTCTCGAGGACCTCGACTTCATGATGGAGGTCTTTTCTTCGTCAGCCCAAGGGCAGATCAAGACTCCTTTGAAATTGACCAAGTTCTTATTCGACTCCATCATCACCGACAAATCGACAACTCGCCGATTTAATATCGTGGAAAAGTGTCTCGAAATATACTCCCATAAGACAGAACCGCACAAGGTCAAAACCTTTCTCTTGCACGACGTTGTCAACCCAATCATGGCCAGGGACGTCCAAAACACGCGGCGTGGCGATAACGAGGCTGCTCCTCTGGCCGACCACAAGCTGTTCAATCTCTTCTTGGAGCGGCTCTGGAAACCAGCAGCACCCGATGCCAGTGAAGATTTGTCACAGCCTGGAATCGACCATTCGCGTATGGAGGCACTGCAGCTTTCGGCCTTTGTGCTCAAATACCACAAAGATGCTGTCTCGGAAGATCGCAAAGAAATCATCAAGTACTCGTGGGGTCACATCAGATTGGAAGACGTGATCACTAAATATGCCGCGTATGTCCTGATCTGCTATTTCATCCGGTCCTACGACACACCGCCCAAAATCGCCGTCCAGATTTATAACCAACTTCTGAAGGCGCATCAAAATGAGGGCAAGGCTCTGGTCACGCAGGCACTGGAAGTTCTGGCTCCCGTTCTCCCGGCCCGAATGGGTGGCACGTCCAATGCTCCAGGTGATAAGAGATCCTCTTCGCATTGGGCTCGCCTTCCCCGAAAGATACTCAACGAAGAGACAGGCAACTTACAGCAAGTTCAAAGCATCTTCAATTTTATCGTGCGTCAACCTGATCTCTTCTACGACTCCCGAGAGTTTTTCGTTTCTACGATCATTCAGATGCTTCATAAAATCGCCCCGCCGCCGAACACCTCCAATGAAAACAAGAAGCTTGCTCTAGCTCTGATCTCGCTTCTGCTACACTGGGAGACTCGCCGGGTTTCCGCGGGATCATCGCCTCATCTCGGCACGGAACCAAGTCCCTCCTTGAAACGGGACTCGTCAGGTACTCAACTACTGCAGCCACCTCCCCCAAAAGAGAGAGCTGAGTACCAGATTCCGTTGGAACTCCGAACGTTGGTTGTGAAATACATGATCACTTTCATCACGACCTTGCCCGAGCGGTTCCCTGTCCCCGCAGCGGAGCTGAAGGCCAAAACGATGCAGAAAGCCCAGCAACAGGCTCTTTCTAACGACCTTGTTAAGAAAGCTGTACAGCTTCTTCGTGATCTGTTGGCTCCGAATCTGTGGGCCGATGTGGACGTTGGGCTCTACGAGAAGCTCCTTGACCCAATCCTGAGTGGCGAAAAGGCCGACAAGGCCGATGAGAAACAGCTGACATGTATGATCAATGCACTACAGGTCATGCGCATCTTGTTGAGCACAAAATCCGATGACTGGATCATCAACCACATGGAGAAGATTCAGAAATTGCTGGACAAGCCGCTCAAGATGGAGGAACCGGAAATCCAAGATTGCCTGCACACGGTCAGTGACGACAGCACGTCTTTACCACTCGTTCGCCGGGTTCTTGAGGCGATCCCGAAGCAGAGAGCTGAAGACGAGGATGGCATGGAACTTGATGTTGCCCCTTCAGACTTTCCCACCAGATATTCCAAAGTGTTGGTCGGAGAAGCGCTCTCATCTGGTAACTACATATCTGGCATCAACAACCTTTGGACGCTGTCGTTGGTGCGGCCCGCTGACGTCGATGATCACGTCAATGGTGCAATGAAGGCTTTACAGCAGAAGCTGGCAAAGGAGCATATCAATGCATATGTGATACCTCCTGGGCCGCCCCCGCAAGGTTGGCGTCTGGGTGAACCATTGATGGACCCCTATGAGTTTGCTCTCGGGGTTGACCTGATCAAGAAGACGATTGACATCCTATCTTCGCGTATGGCGGAACTCAACGAACAGAGACGGCCTTTCCTGAGCGTCCTTGCTTCACTCGTGGAAAAATCGTTCAATGTCGAATTATGCAGCAAAGTGCTGGACATGGTTGAAAAATGGGTGTTCAACTCTAACGAACCATGGCCGACCCTTAAGGAGAAAACTGCCGTTCTACACAAGATGCTCGTCTTTGAGAAATGGCCGACCCAAACCCTCCTGGAGCGTTTCCTCGAGTTGGTCATTAAGATTTACGAGGACCCGACCGTGACACGGACTGAGTTGACTGTGCGCTTGGAGCACGCTTTCCTGATTGGGACTCGTGCCAAAGACGTCGAGATGCGGAACAGATTCATGAACATCTTCAATCGAGCTCTCTCCAAGACCGCCAGTTACCGGCTCAACTATGTGTTGACCTTGCAGAACTGGGACACCTTGGCGGATTCGTTCTGGTTGAAGCAAGCGTCGCACCTTATCATGGGGTCGGTGGAAATGTCCATGCCAGCCCGTCTCCATCCTGAAGACGTTCGTGTGTGTCCATTGTCCCAGCTCTTCGGCACAAATCTTGTCAGCCCGGAGCAACGCAAGGATGACTTGCTGATTGAGGACAATCTCGAGGCTCTCGTGGCCGCGCAGCGGCGCTTCAATCAAGAGATTCACGAAGTCAAGGTTCGAGACCTCCTGGACCCTATTACCCAACTGCAGCATACGGACGACAATCTGGCGTACGACGTTTGGGTGAAACTTTTCCCTCTCTGCTGGTCTGCACTAAACAAAGACGAACGGCTCGATCTCGAGAAAGGAATGGTCACTTTGTTGACTCGTGAGTATCACCAGAGACAGCTGAACTTGCGGCCCAACGTCGTGCAAGCATTACTCGAAGGGGCCGTTCGTGCACGACCGAGATTCAAGGTACCCCCCCACGTCATGAAGTTTCTCAGCAGGACATACGACGCGTGGTACACTGCCCTTGTTTACTTAGAGGAGGCCGCTGTGGACCCTCTAATTGATACGGCTCAAGTCCGGGAGAGCAACCTTGACGCTTTGGTGGAAGTTTACGCTGGTCTCCAAGAAGACGACTTGTTCTATGGCACCTGGCGAAGACGATGCAAGTTCATGGAGACCAACGCCGCTTTATCATACGAACAGCATGGTATGTGGGACAAAGCGCAACAACTCTGGGAGTCGGCACAAGTCAAGGCTAGGACCGGTGTAGTACCCTTTTCTCAGGGAGAATACTACCTGTGGGAAGATCACTGGATGATCTGCGCCCAAAAGCTTCAACAGTGGGATATACTGGGTGAATTCGCTAAGCACGAGAACTTCAGTGACCTACTCTTGGAATCCGCCTGGCGCAACTACGAAGCGTGGTCAGGAGATGAAAATCGAAACCAGCTGGACTCCATGATTAAGTCAGTCTCCGATGCGCCAACACCTAGACGGACTTTCTTCCAGGCCTTCATGGCCCTGCTGCGCTACAACTCTAAGCAGGTATCCCGCGCAGAATTCCAGCATGTTTGCGACGAGGCCATCCAGTTGTCCATTCGAAAGTGGCATCAACTTCCGAAGCGGATCACCAATGCTCATATCCCTATCCTGCAGAACTTTCAGCAATTGGTGGAGCTCCATGACGCGAGTGTGATTTGTGACAGCCTCATGGGCACGAACGAGCGAAATCTAGACAGCAAGTCACAAGAAGTCAAGCTGCTGCTCCAAGCATGGCGAGATCGCCTGCCCAACATTTGGGACGACATCAACGCCTGGCAAGACCTGGTCACCTGGCGCCAGCACGTCTTCCAACTGGTCAATTCGACATATCTACCACTCATTCCCCAAGGCGGAAACAATGTCGGCAGCAACTCGTACGCTTTCCGAGGATATCACGAGACGGCATGGATTATCAACAAATTTGCGCATGTTGCCCGTAAGCACCAAATGCCGGAAGTATGCATCAGCCAGCTTGGGAAGATCTATACTCTGCCCAATATTGAGATCCAAGAAGCTTTCCTCAAACTGAGAGAGCAAGCTAAATGTCACTACCAGAACAAGGCGGAGCTGAATAATGGCTTGGACGTTATCAATAACACCAATCTGAATTACTTTGGAGCACAACAGAAGGCCGAGTTCTATACCCTGAAGGGCATGTTCTTGGCCAAGCTTCAGCACGTGGAAGAAGCAAATGAAGCTTTCGGAGTTGCACTTTATTATGATCTTCGCTTGCCAAAAGCCTGGGCAGAATGGGGTCAATATTCAGACCGGAAGTTTAAGGAGAATCCGAACAATATCGAGTCTGCCAGCAATGCAGTGAGCTGCTATTTGGAGGCTGCGGGGCTTTATAAGAGCGCCAAGTCCAGAAAGATGCTCAGTCGTGTGCTCTGGCTGCTCAGCTTGGACGACGATGAAGGTCACATTGCGAAAGCGTTCGAGGATTTCAAGGGCGAGACCCCAGTCTGGTATTGGACCACATTCATTCCACAACTCCTCGGCAGTTTGGAGCACAAAGAAGCGCGTCTGACCAGAACAGTTCTAGTCAAGATCGCCAAGGCTTTCCCTCAGGCGCTCTTCTACCATCTGCGGGCCACGAGAGAGGAGTTCCTGACCAAGAAGAAACAGTTGGAATCGCAGAGACGTCAAGTCAAAGTCCAGCAAGAAAAGGCTGAGGCCAACTCGCGACCTGGCACGGCCAACGGCGCCTCATCTCCCAAGCCAAAACAAGAACCCAATGGGGACGCCCAAACTAGTGGCACCGAAGTGGCACCGAAGGAAGAACCGAAAAAGCCATGGGATTATACCGATGAGATCATGTCTGGACTTAAGACGGCCTTCCCATTGCTCGCTCTATCCATGGAGACTATGACTGATCAGCTTTCCAAGCACTTCAAATGCCCGCCTGATGAAGATGCTCATCGACTCATTGTGGCATTGTTGAATGATGGCTTAGCTTATATCAGTAGAGCTCCGTTGACTTACGCGGAAGGTGCCAAACTGCCTCCCTCCACTGAAGCCAACATTGCCAGGTTTGTGACATCGGTACTTCCGGCGCACATTCGGAAGTCTTTTGAGGCCGACTTTGTTCAAACCAGACCGACGATGTTTGAGTACATCCACAAATTGAGGCGTTGGCGGGATAAGTTCGAACAAAAGCTCGATCATAGGCAACAGTGGGCGCCATTGGAGTCTTACAGTCACCACCTGAGCGAGTTCAAATTCCTCAAATTCGATGACTCGGTCGAGGTTCCTGGACAGTACCAGCAGCACAAAGATAAAAACACCGATTTTGTGCGCATCGAACGGTTCATGCCTACCGTGGAGCTTGTCCGAGGCAACAGTATCTGCCATCGCCGACTGACCATGCGTGGGCATGACGGGTCCTTACATCCGTTCGCTGTCCAACATCCCACCGGCGGCAAAGTACGACGGGAGGAGCGTATCGTCCAACTCTTCCGCATCTTCAATCAAACATTGGCCAAGCGGAAAGAGTCTCGACGACGAAATCTGTATTTCCACCTGCCCATCTTTGTGCCCATTGCCCCTTACATCCGACTGGTTCAAGACGACTCATCCTATGTCACCCTCCAAACGGTCTACGAGGATTATGTTCGGAAGACGCCTGGCATGTCACGCGACGATCCGATGCTCTTCATCCTGGAAAAGTCAAGGGCCATTGCCGAGCAACAGAAAACCCAGCCACGCACTCCTGATCAGCTCTCGGTCATGAAGACGGAGATTTTCAACACCATTCAAGAGAGATGGGTGCCCAATACCATTGCTCTGCAATATTTCCAGGCCACATACCCGAGTTTCGCAGACTTCTGGCTTTTCCGTCGACAGTTCGCTTACCAGTTTGCAGCAACCACATTCATGACCTACATCATGCATATGTCGGCGCGTTATCCGATGAAGTACTTCATCTCCCGAGCTACAGGAGATATTTGGGCGAGCGACCTCCTTCCTAACTTGAACTCGGCACGTGCATACTTTTTCAATCCAGAAGCCGTACCCTTCCGCCTGACTCCTAACATCCAAACCTTGATGGGACCATTGGCCGTCGAGGGTATTTTCACGGCGTCACTCATGGCCATCGCGAGATGTTTGGCCGAACAGGATCAAGGGTATGAGATGGAGCAGCAGCTTAGCATCTTCGTCCGTGATGAGATGTATAATTGGGCTACTAATCGGTCTCACTCCGCCAACAGCAACGAGCCGAAGATGGAAGGTCAGCATTTGCGGGAGCTGGTGGCTCAGAATGTGGATTTCATCGTTCGCCGGGCTTTGACACTCGCTAAGACGCAAGGCAGTGTAGGGACCGGTGCTGAAGGAGGCGTTAATGGCGTGCTGCCTGCGTGTCAGAACGTGGTCGACCTGGTCAGCCGAGCCACAGACCCGATGAAGTTGAGTGCCATGGATGGACTGTGGATGCCTTGGCTTTGATTTGCAATGAGGATTTTGTGCTAGGGGAATGGGATAACGGAGCGAGAGCGAAGGCGTTTATGGCGGCTATTGATGACGATGCGATTGATGGCTGTTTGGATGATGAATGACCATACGTGGTAGGCGGGAAAAGCGATCGGTCTTTGCAGAACTTCTCAACATCGGCGTTTATGGCGTTTTTATTGTTTGAAGGCACCGCCGGCACACATGTGGGAGTCCCTCAGGCGAGGCAAGGGTGGGCAAGGCGAGGGTGTCTTTGTCTGGCTTTTGCTCGAGGTGTACGAGTATCAGCAACTACTAGTAGTTAGATGGGTGGGATTTGCATTGCTATTGAGATACCTTACTGTAGGTATTGAGCGAAGCTGCTCACAGCATGTCTTTGTGATCATGTCCAGTCCAGCTCAGCTCCATTTTCTAGATAAGATTCCAACATTTATTTTTGTATAATGAAAAATATCATTTGCACATTTATATACAGAAAGAGTATCGCGAGTTAGAAATACTGTCGCGAGTGAGGATATATATGTACGAGAGTTGTCTCTCCTTTGTCTTGTGTCAGCGAGCCTTGCCACTACTCTTCCTTTCTTGCTTGCTCAGTCTTGTTCTCGTACCTGTGTGCACCATAATATCGTGCATATTGTGGGCATTGTCGACAACTACAACTATAGGTACATACTTGGATAGGTAGGGACCGGAGAAAGGATGAATGAGCCACTTGCAGTACAGGCCTGGGATTTGGGGAAAGGGGACAGAAAAGAAACGCTTGCAGATAGACCCAATACCGACAGGCAGACCAGAGTAGCACTACTACCTACCTACCTACCCAGTACTGGCCACCACAACTGTAAGTAAGTATGATATGATTCCGGCCTCAGCTCCAGCTGGGGGTGCATCTGTACTGTATGTAGTTCATCCAATGCCCCGGAACGCCATGGTGGGTTGTTGGAGGAGGGTTGATATTCCCAACATCCAACATTTGAACAATATACAGTATTACAGTAGATGCCTGCAACAGAACAGTCATCCATCACCATTGAGGACTGCATTGCATATCAAGAGCAAAGTGAAGTCAAGATACAGTTATTTGGACGTAATAACATACAGCTTTGAGAGTAAAGTACAAATCCTAAGCATCGAATGATTGATTCGTCTTTGTCACTCCTTGCGTCTGTTATCTGTGCTGTGCTGTCAACCATCATCATCTCATCTCATCTTACAGCTCGAAAGGCGGCGTCTAGAATGGCATCGGCATCTCCATCCATGCGTTGCTCGACGTGAGAATGATGATCATTATTCCTCGATGGGGGTTGATTCGGCAGGTTCGAACTAGAACCAGTCACTCCTGAAACGCCCGACGACGCTTCGTCGTTGACGACCGCTTCTCTCCCTCGTCGTCTGCTGGGCCGACTGCTACCAGTACCGGTGACTTTGGATTTGGCAGTAGTGGCAGGGTGGTCCCGTTGTTCTTCTTGTGAAGCTCCGGTCTCGGTGTCGGTCTCGTCCAGCAACAAGCCTTGGTCTTCCTCCAAGGCCCAAAACTCCATGGCGCGACTGAGCAGGGACCCGGCCACCCCGCCACCGCCAGCATCGCCGCCCAGGACGCGCACCGCCTCATGAAGAGCCATGACGGCGTCCCTGGTGCGACCGACCATGCTGAGCAGGACCAAACCCCGACTCGTATGGATACTGCCAATCAGATTCCTTTCATCGTAGCCACTGGCTGCACCGCTAGGGCTCAGACCGGTACTGCTTGGACCCCCAAGACTCAAGTTGGCAAAGGCCGGCACGGCGTGTCCTGGCTCGTAGGCAGATGCCGGGGCAGCGCCGCCGGTGGCTGTGCGCAGGCATTCGTCAAACTCGGCCAAAGCGTCATCTAATCTGCCGAGCCGTCGTAGAGCATGTGCCAGGTTTGCCCGCGTTGCCACCCAGGCAGTCATATTGAATCCCAATTCGGAAGCCAGTTCCAAAGATCGGTGGAAGAGTTTGGCGGCAGCGGCAAGGCTGGACTGGTGATACAGTATCACGCCAATTTCGTTGAGCACCAAGGGGTCACCTCCAAGATCGCCGGGCTGGTTGAAGATCTTTTCGGTCAACTCCTTTTCGGTCCCGCCATTCAGTCCGCCACCGCTTTTCTGAAATGCTGCTAGCCCGTACTCCCACGCAAGCTGCATGTTGTTCAGCGCAAGATGCTGCATCCCCAGAAAGAGTTGAGGCAGATGGCTCCCTTGGAACAACCTCGCCGCCGTCGAGTATGCCGCAATGGCTTGATCATGCTCACCTTCAGCAGCAAATGTATGGGCGAATCCGATCCATGCGGCCGCAGAATGCGGGTCCATCAAAGACGCCTTGGAGAAAAACCGTCGCGCCTCGGCTATTCGGAAGGTGGACAAGTAGTAGGTGCCGATTGCAAGATAAGTGTACGATTCGTGAGGCGCATGCTGGGATAAGGTATGTGACAGGTGAAACAGAGTGTTATGTGCGCCCGTTTCGTAGAGCACAGCAAGATGTAGAGGGTATAGTCTGGGAGTATGGCCAAGGGAAGCATTGGTGTTGCTGGAAGAGGCGTCGGTGGGATCGTTTGAACTCTCCCGTGAGTTCAGGATGCTGGTTGTGATGGCCAGTGCTTCGTGGAATCGACATTGCGTAAACAAAGTTTCGGCTCGTGTAAGCAGTAGATCGGCGTTGGAGGCCAGGTTGTAATGCGTTGATAGCGTCTCGGTGGCGTTGGCCAGTGTTGAAGGTGAAGAGTATTTGGACAACCGTGTAGTGTACAACAGTTTCGTAAAATGAGCAGCCTCTTGTGCCACAGATGGGTCGTCAACTCGGATCGAGTCGAAGTCTAGTTCTTCCAGAAAAGCCAGTTCTTCGGCTGGAGACATCAAGGAATTCTTCATGAGCTGGTCAAAGGCCTCAAAACATTGCACGTCTATCCGCACGGCGTCTTTATAGCAGTCTCTTGCCCGGTCAAATGCGTTTCGTTTGGTATAACAGAGTCCTCGTAAGTAACACATGCCAGCCTGGAATTTCAGTTCTTTCTCTGATTCTCGGTCGCGTTCCCGCTCCTCGCTCAACTCGATCCGGTCTCTTGGAGCCCGACCGCCTCTGTGGGTGGTACTCCTGTGGGCATGGCCATTGAGATGCGCCAGTTTCCTCCGTGCATTGTGCGATGTGGTGATCAAGTGGGTAGGGTTCTCTTCGCCCAGGATGACCAGGGCTTGCTCGTATCGGCCTTGCTTGATGTAGCAGTGGGCGGCCAGATACCGACAAGACAGACTGCGGCTGATCAGGTCTTTTCGGGAGAGTAGGCCAAGAGCACGCGTGAAATTGTTGTTTCCAAAGTGCACCTGGGCCAGCCAAAATGCGTCCGCATCACTGTCTTTCGGCGCAGGTGTTAGTGGTATCGTTCCACGAGCGGAGTACTATACTCACATACTGGTTAAAGCGAGGACTTTGTCTCCGATGTAGATGGCCGCGTCATGTTGACCTTTATTCAAGGCATCCTGTCTCCACGTCCGCAAGTATTTGTCCATGGTTGGGGGCCGAGATGTTGGTATTGGGCGTGGTCATAGGTCGCGCTCACCGAGTGCACAGGTCGAGAGACATGGAATGTAGAGGACGAAGAGGACGGGAAAAGTGGCAGAACAATAGAGGTCCGGTCAACATACTTTGTCGCGTCGAGTCCGGTCAGTCACATCCAGTCGCGACTGCGAGGCTTGTAGTTTGCAATACTCGTATCTGGATCGAGGTTTGCGGGCGATGACTTTCAGTTCGCGTCCACTGGCAGTGTTTGTGTCGTGTCTGCGTTCTGCGATTATTTATTGACCGCTGACATAATCAAACCCCAGATTTTGTAAAGCCGCCACTTCAAGTTGCGCCTGATCCAAGTTGACGTCCAGTCCATCTGTCTCGACGACATCCCACACAGCATTCTCTGAGTCGAGGCCCCTACTCTAACTACACCCATAACCACCTAGACAAGTTCGGCTCATCGAAATGTCTGAACGAAAGGTCCTCACCAAATACTACCCTCCGGAATTCGATCCGTCCAAGATCACCCGGACACCCAAACACCTGCGACCGACTGGCCCCAAGACGATCCCCGTACGACTGATGGCGCCGTTCAGCATGAAATGTACATCTTGCGGCGAGTACATCTACAAAGGGCGCAAATTCAACGCCCGAAAGGAAACCACCGACGAGAAATACCTCAGCCTGGCCATCTACCGATTTTACATCCGCTGTACAAGATGCAGCTCGGAGATCACGTTCAAAACGGATCCCAAGAACATGGACTACACGTGCGAGAGAGGGGCGAAGCGCAACTTCGAGTCGTGGCGGGATTCCGAGAGTGCCGAGCTGAAAGAGACCGACGAGGAGCGCCTGGATCGACTAGCGCGGGAGGAAGCCGAAGAGGCGGAGAACGCGGAAAGAAACGCCATGGAAGAACTGGAACAGAAAATGGAGGAGAGCAAGCGAGAGATGCAGGTGGCCGACGCCCTGGACGAGATCATGCAGCGGAACGCGCGTATAGAACGAGGCGCAAAGGACGGCAAGGAGGAACATGCTCTTGCGCAAGTCCGGGATCTGGCGCGGGAACAGAGAGAGGCTGAGGAACGAGCCGATGCTGAAGCTGCTCGAAAGGCGTTCGAGGCCGCCAACGTCGAAAGAGCCCGACTTGAGGAAGAGGCCAAACTGCTGCAGGATCGACAGGCGAAGCAACTCTTGGGAAAAACACCTCCTCCGCCGTCCTTCGAAAAGGTGAAAAAGGTCAAGAAGCCTCTTGTCCCAGGTCTGGTTCGCAAAACCGAGCCAGCTAAGGTATCACAGCCGGCGCCTCAAGTTGTACCGAAGCCAGCTGGACTGGATCTGGGCGACTACGGTTCTGACGACGATTGAATGAAGCAGTTACAGCTCTAATGATATTCTCACGATGGCATTCAAGTCAAAGCATTCTTACGGAGGAGGGTGCAGTGCATTGCAGGGCGTTTCCGCGGCCACCAAGCCTTGATGCTAGAAGTGTGACAGCGGCGATCGAGCCGTTCATGCCTTGCAGAAGTCATCGTCGACCAGGCTGGGTGCACGATCAGCCAGATACATGCACCGAAGCAGACCAGCCAATCTCAAGGGACAAGAGTCAGCACCATCCTTCCAGCGTCCAAGAAACGCGGTCGTCCGCCCGCCCGCCATTCGATGGCATGGGATATCTGTGCACAAAGGTCTGGTTACTGTATAACCCAAAGGTACATGTCGGAACCCCCTGCAAAGAATACAAAGATCTTCCTGCTCAACGGGAGGTTCTATGGCATCTATTATTGGACCGCAGCCCTGACGGCACCCGCCCGCAACCAGCATTCACTATTGCACTATTGCTGGTTGCGGTTGCGGTTGCGGAAATCTGCTACTCACGCCATGATTGAATGGACGATCATGTATGCAGCCCATCATCTATCCTGACCTACCTTTCTCTCCATTTGTCTCCGTGCCAGTCACTGGTAGTAGTTCAAATCAGAGCAGAGCACAACTCGCACCTTGCTTCCTCCCGAAAAATATGGAGTATTATGCAAGCGGATTGTCTCGTTTCCAGATCCCAAGCGTGGATCAGATATGCAGTGGACGTGGAAGTCGACCCTACCCAGCTATAATTTTCAACTGCCAGGACCAAGGTCTAGGAACATTAGTTACTCAATCAATTGATTTCAAGTACCTCAGCTGTTGTAAAAGAAAACAACCATACAACCCGGGACTTTTTTTAAAGCATAAAGGTAGGTAAGCCAACAATCCGGTAACAGCACCGTCACCAGCACCATCAGGCACAACCCTACCACTGCAGCTATCTGAACTGTGAACCACACTCACTGCCACCGCTCGCTTGTGAGCACATATCGCTGATCTGCGACATCTAACATTCATTCACAATCGCCCATCGTGTCATATCGCTGTGTGCATACACAACATGCACGCATTGTCCCCGGTCTTTCATACCAGGTACCATGCCTTGGGTATCTCGTCTTGCGCCAGGGCACCGCCATCAAACCTTCGTTATTCCAATACTCAATCATGCATTCATCCCCTGCAATGCCATGCCATGCAATTTGATTCGTTCCTTTATTCATTCAATCGCTTCACTTCAATTCGTCTTTCACTCAGCATGATTTGGCTCGTCGCGATTCATCAATCTTGGCTTGTTGCTCCGGTTCCAGACTGTTGTAGTATCTCTGGGCCAGGGTGCCTTCGTTGCCTCGTGCCGCCATCACGGCAAATGGCGACTTGTACACGGTGGCAGAACTCTGGTGTTTCTGAATGTAATAACCTGCAACACGACCCCAGAACCCTCCCCTTTCCTGCCACTCGGTCAACTGGTGTGGGATAGGCCGATCGTTGATCAAGAGCCCGTTTGGACCCAACGGTCGTTTCTCCAAGCTCTCAAGTAATTGACGGGAAGCTGGAGCCATTGGCGGCTCGGGCGCCCGGGTCTTGTGCTGTGGAAAAGCTTTGACGTTGCTCAACGGGTCGTATGTCGAGCGGTTCCGCATGTCGTTTCCCGAGAGAACATAGTTAGCCGGAAATGGAGCCAAATCCACGTCCATGGCAACGGTGGGACTGTTCTTCATATCAATTGTGGATTGTACACCTAGCCCAGAGAAACCGCCACCGGTGGGATCGGATCTGCGACCGGCGCTCGTACCAGGAGGACTAATCTGTGTGGCATTGGGATTGATGAACTGGGGCGGATTCTGAGGATCAAGAGCCTGCACAGAACTTGCTGCGGGGTTCGACTGCAGATAGGACTCGTGTTGCATTCTTGGACTGGGTAGCATGTATGAGCTGCCGGGTCGACTCCCAGGTGGAGACTTTTTCTCCGCCTCTTTCTGAGCCTTGATCTGATCAGGACTCTTGAAGGGATAAGCGGGATTGGAAATACGTCGTTGACGCTCAACCTCAGCCGATGGCGGAGGCGGCGGTGGGTGACTTGCGGCAGCCCGGATACTTTCCATGGGCGAAGCTTGAAGGTAGGCATTGTTGGCTCCATTGTTCTGGGGTTGATGCCCTTGGAATAAGTACTGAAGTTGCGGTTGCTGAACAAAGGCCGGAAATGGTGTGGTAGCTGGTGATGCAGAGCGGCCATACTGGGACGACATCCCTGAATGATATTCCAGATTCTGTCGTGGCCCACCACTCAGTCTCCGATTGACATCACCCGAATTCATCCATTCATTGCCATATTCATACTGCTGTTGGGGTGTATTCGTGTTCATCATCGAAGGAGCATCGTAATGGCCAGCTGGCAGGTTAGGGTGGAACTCAGTGAACTGATAGTCAGGATAAGCTTTCCCCAGCGACGGGAGCGAGGGATCGGTAGACCATTCCTTCATATGTTTAGCATGTTGCGTGCCTCGTTGGAACTGTCTCTGTTGTTGGGCTGCGTCTTGGCCAATGCCAATCGCTTTCTGAGGCCCGGTGTTTGATCGGTCCGCAGCGTCAAGCTGTTGAGATTTGGCCTGTTGTCGCTGTAGAATCCTGGCTTGCTCATTGAGACGTGCTTCCTGACCCGCGACAAGATCTCGATATTGTGAAGGCTTGATCTGAGCAGGCTTCACATCAAGCATCTTGCTCGGATTGCTGTTCATTGTAAGGTCGTGCGTGGTCCCACTAAATGTTCCCGGCGTCTTGGGAGTAGCATTCCGAGGGGCGGGAAGATTCTGTCTGTTATTTCCTAGACTGGCCTTTTTAGCAGCCACATCAGTCACCGGTTGTGAAGTAGTAAGAGACAGTCGCTTCGGCTGTGGAGGTGGTGCCATAATGGCTTTCGCGGGAGCCACCACATCCAAAAAGTTGGAAGCTGGATCATGCGTCCGTTTCGCTGGGTCCGCCATATATTGAGCTTTTGCCTCAGTTGATGATTCACCGAGATAAAGCCACACCTGTTTGTCTTTGGAAAGATCAACAGCTTTCTGGTCTTTATTGAAAGGAGGCTCGGCAGAAGCAAATTCGGCCCATTCTGTCCTTGGCTCCTCAGTGAAGGGATCTCCAGCACTTGGCTTTTTCTCAGTGGACTCGGGCAACGAAGCAGTCATGCCTTGCAGATCTTCAGGTAGATCGAGGGCGTTCGCTGAAGGCTTTTGCAGACATGAAGTTGCACTGTCGACAAAGAGGATTGATGTAGGTTCGACTTCTTTAACAACTTTCAGGTCTGGGATAATCTTGACCAAGACCGAGTATTGACCTTCGTCGTATGGTGCAATGACGAGTCCGGCCTCAATGTCATCGCTGTTAGTTGCTTGAAACTGGATCAAATCCCCTCCGTTGATATTGTACAGATACTGACGGAAGTCTGCATTCTGCCAGCAGCTATTTGCGTGGTTGCAAGCCGACAATTCACTGGTGATCCTCGTCCGCTTGATGGAACGATGCAGACGACATCTCCAGTCAAAGCCAATATCTCGATATTCCACCCCATCATGCCAGACAGCGATTTCTCCTCTGTCAACCTGGACGCCAGCCTGCATAGCACAGGTAGCATGGTATGATTTGGTGCACTTGGCTGAAGAGCACTGGAAGCATGATCCTTTCTTCTGGCGACATTCATAGCATTTGAGTTCCAGGCGTGCTTTGCTGATGTTCTCCACATTGTACACCATTTCCTTGCCATCTTTATTGGCAATATACGTCTCAGGCGTGTACAAGGCACAAGTACGATGTGCTCGTTGACCATGCGTTGTGGGTAGCAGTTCCTCCCAGGGGAAATCGTTGGGACACAAACAGCAGGGTTGGTTCTTGCTGACTTTGCGGATCTTGACGAGTTTCTTTGCCTTTTTGTTCGGTCCCAGTTCCTTCGCTGCACGCTTTCTCTTCTGCGGCATCTTGCTCTTGCCACGATCACTACTCGGCGGCGTTGGCAGATCCGTGGGTTCGTCGATTTCGTCTTCGTCGTCGGTAACTTCGACCTCTTCATACTCAGGACTCGGCTCACCGTTCATTTTTCGCATGAACCAGTCCACATCAATGAAGACACTGTCAGACTCGCATCGGCACTTGCGAGCTGTCTTGCCATATTGCAACCAGTTGTCAATGGCGAAATTGACAGATTCGGCGCAGTTGTACCCCAAGTTGTAGCCCGAATGGTAGCCGATTGGAAACGTGATGACGAATTGGCCTTCGCGGTGGACGACCTTGTTGACCTGGACCCCGAATTTGGACTTCAAGATCGATGGGGAGACGAGGTATGTTTTGTGGCGCAGAAACTGATCACAATTCTTCGCATCCGTTGGCCACAAAGACCTCATAGCAGCTTCAAATTTCGGCGCATCCTTTTGCGAAATACTGTACCACTGCTTTGGGGCACCAAAGTGAATGTAGTTAATGCTGTAGAGGTCCACATCTTCCAGATGCCAGGCAAACGTAGCACGCCACATCCCAAGGTACAGGTATGCCGTGTTGACGCCTGGAATGGGCGCACCTAGGAGATCCAACAGGTTCGGTAACTTGGCGACATTCCATTCCTTCGTATCATCGTCAAATAGAGATCCAGGCATGTCTGCACCGTACATCGGGTTGCTGAAGTTGAGACTCTTCCAGTACTTGTCTTCCAGCTCATCGCAGCGTTCCGCGGTCCATTGGTCATGATCGTAGACTCGATAGTCAAAATCCCGGAAAAGCTCCTCATCCACTTCATCGTTCGCTTCACGAGCATTCCTCAATCGTCGAGCGGCAACAGTCGTCTCCGCCCCCTTATTGCCGGCTTCTTTCTTGGTGGTAGACTTGGCCGGGCGGCCTCGTGGTCTGCCGGGTTTCCGAGCCCCCTTACCCTTCGTCGGAGTTGGATCGGCCGGTTGAGTAGGTGCGTCCTCTGTCTCCTCGTTTTCTAGGGCGGAGGGCTTGACCTCGGGACTCGTAGGAGTAGGAGGTGCAAGTAACGTCGAACCATGCTCAATTGGCTCTTGTTTGATCGGTCTGGACTTTGCTCTTCCCTTGCAGGGTTCTGGGGTGGCCGATACTTCAGATTTCCGGGCTCTTGTGCTTCCTCTGCCCAGAAGTTTGTCGGCGTTCAGACGCTTCTCGCCCCGTCGCGCGGGTGGCTGATTCTCTGTCTGCTCGCAGAGCGCTTTCCACTGGGGGAGGTTGTAAGACCGCATCTTCTCCATGTTCCGCTGTGTGTAGATGCCTTGCGCACCATGGAATTCTTGGGTCAGCGGATTTTTGATCTTGATCGTCTTGACCAATTCATCCAAAGGCTTTCGAGCACGCTTCCTGCAACGACATCAGTATCCGTTACCTGTGAACTTAATGCCAGTATGTGGGTGCGCCAACTGTAGAGAAGCAACGTACCACTCTTCGGGGGGATCTATCAGCACGATGCCGGACTGCATGCCGAAAGGGTCTACACCCTTTACATATCGTTGGAAGTCTTTAAATTGCTCCATTGTCTGTGAGGCGTATTAGTCGGTGTTGTTCCCACATGAACAAGGCCCTGGTCACAGCATTGGCCTGGTGAGGGCAGCGCGTACCGGAGTGAAGATTGGGACGCCATTTTCGTAGCGATCAGGCTTGACTTCAGAGTATTGTTCGGCTTCCGCGCCAGCGCGTGCTGCTTCTTCAAACCTCATCCTATTCTCTTCTTCATCCAGGTCGTCGCCGAGATCGGAGAGGGAGGAACTCGAGGCTGCGTCATCGTCTTTATGGCTCGCTTCATCGGTGATAGGAGGAGTGTGAACTTGGGGAGGGAGGGTGTCGGGGACAATGTCGTCTTTGTCGAGAGCGCCGACACCGAGCCCGTCGTGGCCGGGGAGGGTAGGCATGGCTGTTGTAGCCATGATGAACGGGTGGAGAGGGAGTGGTCGGGGGAACGGGCTGTGGCGAGAGGTATGGACTCGAAGCAGGCTCAGAACGTCGCAAGGTGCATCGAGCGAGCAGCAACGAAGACGTCGCAGACCCCCGCCACGACCTTGGACAGTGCTAGAGTGGTGATTGTTGTCGCCGATATGTCGTGGTAGTGGTGGTGGTAGGTCTGCATCGAGGGTCGCAGTCGGTTCAGCGTAGTCGAGGCTGCCACAAGGGACTGCGGACTGAGAGGTGCTAGGACTGCCGCTGAACTGCTCCGGTTGAATGTCTCTGATCTGCGCTAGGCCTGTTCTGGTCGGTGACTCTTGGCTCGACATATCAGAGGCCGCGACTAAGAGCAGCTATGCCACCTCGCTAGTACCGAAATAGCATTCCGCTAGTCACTAAGATGCACAAGGTCGCGATAAGTGCAAATCACGCCACAGGGTAAACAGGGTCCTTTGACATCAGGCCATGGACTGCACCTGCAGCCTGATGAATGTCACTACTGCCACGTTCCGCCTGCGCTTGCACTTGAGCCTCTTCTTGGACCCCGAAAGTACATTATTGCTATTACCCTTAATATTCACTCACAGATGGCCATATTCAACTAGACTTCTCATACATAGTACACAAAATCTGGCATCAACATAGTCATATCGCAACAATTTGAAGAAATGAACGATTACAGCGGCGGTGGCTCGTCTCAGAGTATATCCAAAGTTACCTAGGGAGGTACTGTACATACTACTGACAATATGCTCATGATTGGCTCTCTTATCGATCCAGGCACGTAGAACACCCTGTTGGTTGACAGCTTTACAGACCATGGCACTCATCATGGTATTTTCCTATGTACCTAGGTATATCCCCAAGGGCGGGGAGCCTTCAGAGCGATTGCCCTCTCGCTGTTATCCCGCTATAGATCACAATTCCATCGAACCGCCAAAAACACCCACCTTAATATGGTGAGACGTAACGAGTGGTGCAAACTATACAGCCCATTCTCAGTACTCTGTCAAGGCCAACTTCTTTCCCACTGTCCTTCTCTTCTGTGCGATCTGGTCTGCGGGTTTGGCTTGTTCCTTCTTCAGGGCTTGCAACAGCATACCCGCGTCGAAGAAACCGTCTGTCACATTGAAAGTCAGTAACATTGTATGAAGATCAGGGAAGAGAAATAGAAACTTACATCCGCCCAAACCATCATCCTCCACTTCGGCTGTATCCATGCTCGCAGGCGTCTGAGTTCCATCGAGCTTGGGCCCCTCCGACTTGATGATGCGGCCGCGAGACTTGAGTCGTCCATCTTTGCTAGCCTTCGCCTCGGCTTCTCTGGCTCGAGTCGACTTGCCAGCGGCGCTGTCTCTGGGTTTGGTGGCCTTAAGCAATCGTCGGATTTCGTTCAGATATGACTCCAGGCTGTCTACGAAGCGTCTGGTCTGCCGATGTTTGCTACTGGCACAGACTGAGATGGAATCATCCTTGATGATGTAGCCAATGCCGAAGCCGTCGCCGGAGACTGGACCAAACCCGAAATGTCGCAAAGATGGGTTTCCGCAGTTGGATGTACTCAAGATGGTATTGTTGATCTTCTCCCATCCAGGATCGGCAAAAAGAGCCGGCATGTGCTGCTGGAATTGAGGGCCAGGCGAGCGACTGGCACTGGCGTCCGTGCCAGCGCGAGAACGACCGTTGGGCGAGATCTCGTTACTCAGCCGTTTGGGGCTACCAACATCACTCATGTCCGTGGGACTCGAATACCCATTGGAACTAAAGCCGGTTGTGCTGGCTGCCTCGGCTCCTTCGTCGTTGACTTTGCGCTGCCATACACAGTACAACGCGTACAGATGGCGGTCCTGCCCTTGGCCCTTACTGCATTCTTTGGTGATTGCAACATGCTTCTGCGTGGCAGCCTTCAATGCGTCCACCTTCTTCTGCGGCGCTGTGTCTGCCCAGAAGGTTTTGACAAAGTTGAGGCATTCGTCAGTCACCGTCCGAATGGCCTCAGTTCGACCATGCAAGAACATCTTCGTCATGGCCGGCTCGTACGTATTCTCGACCCGGCCGTACAAGCCATAGTAAGCAGCTTGGAATGCCATTTGCACGAACGCGTCAGGTGAGAAGCCCATCGACGTGATGAAATTCTTGCCGTAACCTGCAAAGTCCAATGTCTGAAATTCGTTTTGGTTGATCAGATCAGCTAGACGCGTTTCCGCGAACCGTAGGGCAATCTGCAGCTCTGGCGTCATGTCCCATTCCAGCTTGTGTGGAGTGGTACTGACATCCCCAAAGCTCTCCGGGTCTCGCTTTGAAGGATCGGGACTTTGGCTGGTCCACAGTGTCGGGGCCTGTCCGTTGATGGACTTTGCAAATCTCAGTATGGTATCAGTGTAGACATCGCTCGCAAAGCGGAGGACTGTGTGGCCATCCACGCCAGTGTGTTCAAAATTGATCCCGGCACTGCCATTCTTGCAGACGATGATTTGCAGCTTGTCGTACCATCGGTTTGTGCAGGTGCCGACTTGGACGCCCCTGACGACTTCACTTGTACCGCATAACATGTTACCACAGAGTTGAGAGACATCCGCAGGCTCGGTATAGTCAAGGCAGACGACAAACAAGGCCGAGTCGACCATGGAAAGACATTCGGCGTTGTTTGAGCTTTCTTCCCTGGTCAAGAAATCTCTGAGGCCTGACCAGATCTTGCGGTTTTCCGTAGTCAGAACCCCAAGGGCGCCTTTGCCTGCCTCCTGGATGGGGATCTGTTCAGCATCGTCGACTATCACCTGGAAGTTGATTGCAAGATCTTTCTCCGTCATGATCACGTCGTTGTTGTCGTCCAGTACGTCGAACCAATAGAACTGGCCGCGGCAGACAACCACGATATGCTTGGAATCTGAATCCTGGCCGATAACACACCCATTCTCGGTCGGCACTCGGGCAGTGCCAAACAAGCGCGAGTACTGATACATGCACAGCGGCGTGCCCCTCAATGTATCTGGGGGAAGCTCTTCCTTTCTGACCGCTCGCACAAAGCATAGTGCCGATGCCACCAGAGAGGCTGCTCGGGTGACCTGGTTGTTTCGTGCTGGTGTCGGATCATCTTCCAATAAAAAGAAAGGGTTTAGGTTCAGCACCACAGGGTTGTCGTAGTTGAGGTAAGAATCATACCAAAATTGCTCGATGTAACTTGTCTTCCCGGTGGCGTACTTCTTCAAGCGTTCTTGCAGCTCTGGGCCGTCATGCTCCAAGAACTCCTTGACGGCCGCCTTGGTCTCGTTGTGCTCGTTGGGCGACTGCAGTGGAGCCAAGGCGTCCAGGTATTTCTTCAGAGACGATTCGAGGTCGGGAATGGGCAGCTTCGGCAGCTTGTCCTGCGCGGCAAATGTGATGCCTTGCTTTGTCGTCTCCTTGGTTGTAGCCAGAGGTTCCTGCTCTTGCTTGGTATATGAATCCTTGACGTCTCTGGCCGCCTGGAGCGACCGCTCATCTTGAGCCGGGGCCATGTCGGCCTTGTTCTGGTTGACCGGAAGGTTCAATGTCTCGTCGATAGACTTGGGGCGGGTGAAATATCTCGTTCCTGTGACCGAGGACGGCATGGTTAATATTTGGATCATGCGTACAGCGCTGCCACCAGCGTAGCAACGCTCAGGAGGCGGAGAGCGGTGCGGTAGAAGTAATGACAATCGTACAAGCAATAAGACGGCATGGGGGTGTAAATCTCTTGCACTGTAGAGGAGGCAGCCAACGACGAAAAGTGCTGGACGTGATGAAAACAAAGGCAGAATCAGAACAACACGACGAGGAGCTGGAGGGGCAATGCAGCCTGGATAAATTGGATTCGCGAGGACCAAAGATCATCCCGTCAGGAGGGGTCTGGTCAGTTGCACCATGGCATCAATCACAGATCCATACCACCTGCTTGTTGTCAAGTATGGGGCAGGACGCGGGCTTGCGGTTTGGACGCAGCACATGTGACGGCAGGGCTTCTCCGCGGCCCTCCGCGTCAGACGACAAGCGGAGCATTTCGCAATGGAGATGGATCCCAAGTAGACGGGGAGAAGGGCAGAGCAAGCGACAAAGATGGACGTGATGCAGTGGGTTGGTTGTTCGTGGCAGGAGTCTCGGAGGAAAGGAAACAGGTTGCACGTACCCAAACAGCCAAAGTGCGTCGGCGCGGTTCAAGTTTTGGGTCGTCACACTGGAAGCGGCTTAAGCTCTGGAGTCGCTTCGCCGAGGTCGAATCACCGCCCGCAGAAGGGTAATACTGGCTGCACTCGAGTCAATCTGCTCTGATTCAGTGCTGCATGCAATATAATAGCAGCCCCCGCGTTGATAGATGTCGGAACATGCGTAGGAAAGGAAGGCTTCTTTCTGTAGTTGCGGCTGCGGGCATCAATACAAGCTCTTCAAGCACTGATGAGAATGGCCTTCGCACTTCTCCAAGCACCAGACTCGATCGAGTGGCCGCGTGACGTACTTAGCGGGCGCGGTTGGTAAATAGTACACTTGCACTTGGAATGGGGAATCTGTTCGAGATCGCGGATTGTCGGCTTCCTCTTGGATTTATGTCCTCAATCGGGGAGCAGCATGGAACAATCTCTTGTGGCTTCTGGAACTCGCACTCATCTCCTGATGATACACCGGCCTTCTCTTGCAACAACAGTTCATAGAGTCCCGTCCGCAGCACAGCCATGTCTCAAGTCCATCCGTGCAGTCACAGTCGCAGCTTGGCCGTCGATCGTGTCTGGCCGAGAATCGAGCGACGGTCGATCGGAAAGCGGAGGGTTGGCCAATCTGAGCGTAGGGAATGGCTTCGAGGGGCGCCGGGATGGTTGGATGAGCTGCGTTCCGGGGATGGTTGGCGCTTCCATTTCTCCGCGAGGGCTGCCGCCTTGGTGCTAGTATTGGTGCTGATCGGAGCCTGCCGCCGCCTGCGGTGGATGAAAAGAACCCGGGGACAAGCTCAAGCTTGGGGCTCCGTAGGCGGCGTGACGGGGTTCGCTTACAGGTGGAAGAAGTGGAGAGACATGAGAGAACTAGAAGCAACCAACTCTACTCTTCAAGTTTCCGAGAATCGCCCATTGGCAGGACGGAACGCAGCGGGTTGCCACCACTTTGAACCTGGGCCTTGTAACTACACGGTAAACAATATTAAGAAAGTACGGTTGCTGATGTTGTCACATTCAGTTCGCCTTTGCGATGTGAGTCATTGTGGGCAGCCTGCATTGGCGAAAGGCGAAAGCCGCACGTTAGGACTGTCCATTACTGGCAGAAGCAAAAAATGGGACCACGAATGCCGATGAATATTCGAAATGCTATTGTACATGTAGGCTCCAGGGTCCTTTTTACAGACTCGATTCTGGCCCGCTCTGTCCTTTCTCCTCCAATTTTGAAGTCCTCCAATCAATGGCCCAGGTCAAGAATAAAATGTGCGAGGCTGTGATCATCCCACCCCGTATCCCAGATGGTCGGTCCATTTAGTGAGGTGTGAGTCGACATGCTCGCGAGAAGAGAAAAAAGATCCTGTCAAACAATCTCCTCTCGCATAGAGGATCAGTCCTTTGAATGAGAAAAGAACGAGAAAATAAAAAACGTTGCGCCGTTCCCCAGCCTGCGGGGGGAATGCAAACCCTTGAACACTGCTGGTATCGTGCGGGCGCTCTGCCACAAGCATCATGCAATTTTTCCAACGCCGTCAAAGGTGACAATTCCCTGCCTCCTGTTGATTTCTCCAAGAAAACCTAAGGAGTCGTCAAGTCGTCAAAAAAGGACTTTCAAGCGTTAAAGAGTCACAGTGGGCAAGCCCTTCGGTTTGAGCACGTTCGCAGCATATTGGCCGCCAAAGTTCCCTGAGGCACGGGTCAGCAAAAATCAGACTATGAATCAGAGGGAAGGGAAAGCTTACCAGCGGGGCTGTAGTTACAAACGGTAAAGTATGGGCTGACACCACTCCCAACGTTGGCCAGGCCATTGGGACAGTATTGGGTTGCGCATCCCACGGAGGTGGTGGATTTCCAGACAATCTGCGAGTAATGACCCCACTTCTCAAAGTTGCTCATGTCTGGTTCAACACCATAGGCGGGGTAGTAGTTGATCTCTCCATTGTACATCTCGTTGGTGATCATGGCAGGGATGTCGGACGGAGGAGCACCGGCGCCAATATTCTGGCCATAGCCGCCACCACCAGTGGAGGTGTCGTGGGCATAGACACAGCTGGCTGCGATCTGAGCAGCAATGGAAGCCATGTTATCGCTCCAGACCAGGTTGGCGACGGAGGCGTTTTGGCGATGGATATTGTGAGAGTCCAGAATTCCTTGCTGATAATCCGAGGAGACCGAGGTAGAGACCGAAAGAGCCGATGAAGTCGACGAGCTGGGGGTAGAAATGGAACTGGCAGTGGCACTTGCGCGGGCACTGGGAGTAGATACAACAGCTGATGCGGAGGATGAGGAGGATGGAGTGGCATAGGTAGGGATCACGACAGACGTAGTCGTTGGTTGAATGGTTGAAACAGCAGGCGTCTGGGTCTGAGTGATTGTCGCAATCGCTGTCTGACTGTCCCATGTTGTTGCAACCGCAGTACCACTGCCATCACTGCCAGAGTTCCACCATCGCCATGCACCCCACCAACCAGAGCCGGAACCAGAACCAGAACCAGAACCTGAGCCCCAGCCCGATCGGTGAGAGCCTGTTCCCCATGAGCCTGATCCCCAGGAAGTAACAGTAGCTTCTGCAGAGACGGCGGCTTGAACAGAAGATGCAGGTGTATCGGATCGGACAAGAGAACCTGCATTGGATTGAAAAAAGGCACCGGCTGTCTCCGCTGGCTCAGAACCAGTGACGGTGACAGTCAAGGTCACCCACTCGTAGGTGGTGACCAATGCACGCTTGTCAAAAGGAGTGGCGGCCGCTAAGCCGGCGCAGGCCGCGGCAACGGCGCAGATTGATGCTTTCATGATGCTTGGAGAACTATCGACTCAATGGCTTGATCTATTGATTTGGAGTGTCGATAGACTGATTTGTGTGATAGAACTGAACTTGATGAAGGCTGTGTCGAGGTCTATTTGATACCAGAAGGTGGCAGGAATCACAGTGCACCGGGCAGCTGGTTACGTGGGATTCGTGAGTCGGCTGGGTGAAGCTGTGTCCGGTTGTTGCCCCGAGTTTCTGATCGTCACGCCAGGTGAGGCAGAATTCTGGAAGCACAGTGTGGCGGGCTCTGGTCAAAGAGCTGGTCTGGTCTGTTGCTGTCGCGTTTGCACCAAGGGCACGGACTGAAGTTGAACTAGCGCGGTCACGGACCGTGCTTTTGGAGAAAAAGGTGGCTTGATTGGGACTCGTCTGAGAGAGTGAAGACTGGCCGAGGATAGAAGTGAAATGGCACTTGGGCCTAAGGAAGGACTGATGAGAGAGCGGACGACGATGGTGAAGGAAGGGAAAACAAGAACGAGGTGCCAGGAGTGAAGTTAATATTCACTCCGACGAGCTGTATACTCCTGGTACGGCGTTGAGGTTTCTTTGTCTGCCGGTGGTGTGGCTTCGAGGCCAGATTCAGCGGCCGGGGGCGACGTCAAGCCCAGTGGAGCCCGGAACGGGTAGTTTAAGCCTGGCGGGATCGTCCCCTGCACGCAATCTTAGTTAAAGGATGAACGTCCGGTACCTGGAGCTTAACTGGATCGAGCAATTCCAGGGCCAGTTTGGGGCAGCCTCAAACTCAACTCCGAGTCCTGCCAGGGCTGGGATGCTTACTGTCGGCGCTGTGGGGGCCACTAACAAGATCCAAGGATTCGTCACCGACCGCGATCGTGAGGGGCAATCGGGCCAGACGATCTGCACTGAAACACTCAGTGTATCGACGCAACAAGGGTCCGCTGCCTCTGGGACAGGTGACAAAGGCAAAGGAGAGGCTGGATGCTGGAAAATGGCAGAAACTTGAAGAGAGCGGACTGGCGCACACTGAAGCGAAGACGGATCGACTGAGCAAGCGGACACAAAGGCAGACAGACCAAGAGGAGAGCGGGCTACGACGTGCAATTTAACGGGCTCTACGGAGGTTCATGAGGTTTCTGTTTGGACTGACTCGTCGCCATGCAGTGAGGAGGGACGGAATCTCGTCTCATTCTGGTCTGGCGGGTGGCTTTGCCATGGTCCAGGCCGCTTGCGAGTGTCCGGTGCAGTCCTGCCAGGAATGATGTTGCCTTGATATACCACATGATGGCCTGGCTTACAAGAATTTGTTGACATGGCAGCTGAGCAAGACACAGTGTACAGGTCGGCCAGGCCAGGGAGACGCCGGTTGGAATTCGACCTTTTGGCTGTGGACAGCGGCGGTGTTCCCTCCTGCGACGGCACATCGTGGCACTGCGCATTGACCCCTCGGCCACCAAAGTCGGATAGGGACCGACCGACACAAGGCTGGTGAAACAACCCAATACTGCAATGGCAGGGTACCCAGGACAACTAGTAGCACACTCCTGTACTAACCAGTATTGCAAGCTACCTCACGCACCTGGTATGCCTTACCTTGTAGATCAATTTGAAGTGGATGACGACGATATCTGAGCAGGCGCACTGGTTGCAAAGTGTTGAGCGGTGCAGGGCCAGCACCAGTAGCTGCTCGCTAAACGGTTCAGTTGCCGGATCTCTCCTCACTGTTAAGCTGGTTTACTGCGGTTGGTGGTGTTTAGTGCTGCCACTACTTGGCCTGCGCTCGGGGATTTACTTCAGCGGGCTCTCAAAACTTCAACTGGTGCCTGTGGTCCTCTGGAGTTCAAGGCTGCTGCAGTGGCCACCTGCGCGCGTCTTGCCCCTCGCCAGCCCCCTGCAACTCAACTCTCATCGCCGCACGGTCATTATTGATGTGGGTATTTTGGCAAATCAAGTCCATACTAGTAAGGCACTGGAGCGGGTATATGAGATTTTGACCAGCCTTCCTGGTCGTGGCTTGCAAGTGCAGCCTTGAGCAATCCTTCTCCAATCTGCGCATTTCACGAGCCTGTTTCACCTGTCACATCCGTCCAGCTGGGCCGCCTGCGAAGAATCTGTGTCGAAAAGGCAGTGACATGGTGGCGGACACGCACAGAGCACCACGCCGCGAGGCCAGGCCAGGCCACCGCATCTACTCACTCAGCTCCCGTACGATCCCAGCTGGCCGCGCCTTACTTCAGTATCTGCTCCAATACCAGCCTTGCGGGCAATGGTAGGGAACAATGGGAAGGGAGTCCAGACTGTTGGCTCATGATATTGACCGTGTAGTCCTCCCCAGCCAGATCCTCTCGCGTCCGGTACCTGGCCATTTCGTGGATATGGAAGGGCCGCCTCGGGCCTCTTGAAGGCAATGAATGGTCTCTCAACCCGGTCCTTTGGCTGCAAGGCCCCGCTGGATTGGTGAAGACTGGGTATGGGGAAGAAGTTGTGAAACTTATGGCGCTGCTCTTTGAAAAGGACGAAATGTCCTTGCCCCTACGGGTCTTTGATCCCCTGGTGCAAATTGTGTTGACAGAAACCTGGAGAACCTCGACTCGAGAGGATGGTGACGACGACATATTCAGGAGTAAGGACAAAAGCTCAGAGTTTTCAAACTTTTAATCTGTTGTCTCCTCAATTCACAACCTATCATAACTACCTGTCCCTTACTGTCTGGTGGCGACATGCAGGCGAGTAGATGCAGCGCAACCACGGAGTTTTAAATCAGCCCGGCCCAGGAGAGCCGTCTGAAAATTTCAGAGTCGATAAGGACACGAATGCGCCCCTCGTTGCTCAGTGTCACTCTCATTCATTACCACGCTCGTTACACCCCGCTCGCTGGCCACATCACTTTGCGGTGTATTGCGCTGTTCCTGTTAACCCTACCTCAAAAAGCTTCAGTCGAAGCGACTTCCTATTCCAATTGGCTTAGCAGTCGACTGCGAGACTTGACGTTCGAAACCACATGCCCTTGTCTCAGCGTCATGGGGCTTCGAATCCCGTTTGCTTTTCGTGGTGGCTTCTCCGGCAAGAGAAGAGCATTGACTGTGGTCCATAGACCGACCGACCTCCTGAAGGGCTCGTCGGCCTAGATTGGTGTTACGATTCAACCTCCAGCAACCGCGGACGCCGCTTCTGTTGAGTCATCTGCGGTTGCAACCTGAATGCTGTTCTCTGGCAAACTCGCTGCAGGTCATGACATGATCCGAGGAGACATTGCCCCAGAATAACCAACCCATCCTGACCAGGCTGATTGAAGCTGCCAGCTGCACGCAGGGCAACACTGCTGGAGGCCGGGCCATGTGTTGAGCACGGCATTCCCGAGACCTGAACCACCCTGCCGCTATGGCGGAGGAGTTTCTACAGACCCTTTGCCACAGGATTACCTGGAATATCCCAGGCCCCCATGAATAAGGAATCGCAGACGTACCATGGGCAGTACTAACCATCAGCCACCACACCAACTTGAACCTACATGCAATCTGTGCAACGCTGAATGCAGGCCATGGCCCAGTTGTGACAGAGTATGTCTGAACCAGGCTACTTGGCGATCAATCTCCAGAACTCCCCAAGCCGCATGCTGTTTGAGCATGCATGTGGGCTGCATGTTGTTGTTTTTCACTCATGTGAGTTCAGTCTGCTACATCTCCTGCATGTTGCACATTTGGGGCCGCACTCTACCGTGGTTTTGTTTGCCTGTCTTCACCGTTGGTCAGTACCAAAAGTGGTGAAATGTTGGATTCAACACTTGACCATCGCGCGACGTGTTTCCTATCGACACGTCGAACGGAGAACGAGCTTGACCTGTGCAGTAGGGCTATACTCTAGGGATAAGCCAGGTCTCGCTCGACATATGCAACAGGCTACGGATCGGACTCGGGCAACACTTAGCCAGCATTCCTTGGGGCTTCATCAGCATGGTCGTGGCCCGAAAATGCAGTTCCCCTGAAGCGCGCAGGTTCTCGTCACAACTAGTAACCCTGAGTCGTTTGCAAAGGGCGCCGCTTGCCCATCCTTGACAACCTGGCCGACGTGGAGGCTCGCAATCCGGCGTCCGAGTCGTGGACTCGTGTTGCGAACAACTCTGTGTCCGACAGGTTTTGCGAGCCAGTAAGTCGAGCAAGAGGGTTCCCAGGACAGGAGGCGGCTGGCAATAGCTACAGTGCTGCTGACTTTGACCAGGCAAATATAATCTTGTAAATTTGTATACTCTCCTAGAGAGGCGGACGAACAGGAGGTTTGATGTTCCGTTCATGCCAGGCCCTCTCCCTTTTTTCATCTCAAGATACGATATTTGGCGTTCGATATGAGCTGAGGTCATGTCGACATACATACGATGGAAACTGGCTCGAATATTTTGTAAATTTCTTCAGTCGCGTTCAGATCTGAAAACACCTTTTGGTAACTACAACGTCGTATGTGCTTCAGCTTTGTGCTTGATCATATGACATCATCTGACCCGGTGGATTTTGTGTGTAAAGTAAATCCGCTTTGGTTGTTGCATGTAACATAGTAGAGGAGACACTTTGCACAAGAGTCTGAAAAATCTTTCAGCACATTTGCATCCCATCACTTGAGGAAGAGAAACGTGTATTTTTGTGCACGAGGTGCTACGGCAGCCCGGCGGCGGGAGCTCACGAAATATATTCAGACGGACCGAACAATCATTGTTGACACGCGCGTCTGCGGACGAAAACCTCTACACCTCTGGGCATATATTTATTTTGAGATTGTGATATCGTCATACCGTGAAACTCAAGTGTGGGAATATCGTCGATCCCAGCTACTACAAGAAAAGAACAGCGAACCTTTTCGCGATCGGATCTCGCAAGACGAGAAGGCTGTGAAGGGATTCCACGGTAGGCTTCCCGCGCCGTGTCAAAGGAGCCCGAGTCATTGGCACCCCTGATAACCAACCTATATCTGCTTCACGCTTCGCAGAGAGTCTACACTTTTCGTCCATCATGGCGACGCGCAAACCCGTGATCCGAGTGGTTGGCTCACTAAACATCGACTTCGTGACCCGGACGCCGCGAGTCCCCGGGCCCGGCGAAACACTCCAAGCAACCTCAATGACAGTGCACGCCGGCGGCAAAGGCGCCAACCAAGCCGTGGCCTGCGGCAAAGCGGCATTTATTTCTTCCTCCCACCAAGACGTGACGGTCGAGATGATCGGAGCCGTGGGCCACGGCGACCCGTACTACGCGACCCTGCTGAAGCCGACGCTTGAGGCCGGCGGGGTGAGCACGACGGGCGTGGCCGAGATCGAAGGCGTGCAAACGGGCACGGCGACCATCATTGTCGACGAGGGGTCGAATGGTGAGAATCGGATCCTGGTGGTTCCGGGGGCGAATCATCGCGTGGTAACGGACGATGGCAATGAGCAACAAGCGCAAAACGGAAAACAGCTCGTGTTGTCTTCCAGTGACGATAACGATCCAGACGTGGTCGTCATGCAAGGCGAGATTCCTCGGTCGACGGTCCTGGCGCTGCTTCACCGCTTCAACAACAATTCGGCGTCGTTAGGGCAGAGGAAGAGCAAAACCTGCGTCGTCTTCAACCCGGCCCCCGTGTTTCCGGACGGCATCCCCATCGATGCCCTTCGCGGTTTGGCCGTGCTGGTCGTCAACGAGACGGAATGTTTGTTACTGTTCAAGGTGGTCCAAGAACTCGCCGCGACAGTCGACGATGTGCCTGCTTCTGAGCAGGATCTGGATGAGGCGCACCTCGACCGTTTGACAGGGAAACTGCATGATCTTGCGGCCATCTCGGTCGTTGTCGTGACGCTCGGTTCCCGCGGCGTGTATTACTCATCCTCTACTACTGCTACTACTACTACCGCTACACATGGAAGCCAAGGTAAGTGTGCAGCCTTGCATGAAAGCGCGAATCCATCGAACATTTCTGATGCGTTGATAGAAACAAGGCAACAAGAGACACAAAGAGGTCTGGTCCCAGCAGTCAAAGTCCCCAAGGTCGTCGACACCACGGCCGCCGGAGACACGTTTGTCGGGTACCTGGCCACGGCGCTCGCTCGACATGTTTCTGGTGGCTCCCCGAACGACAGTGGCAATGACTTGGCCAGCTTTGATGTGCAGTCGGCCGTGACACGGGCGAACCAGGCAGCTGCCAAATGCGTTCAACGAGACGGGGCTATGGAGAGTATTCCATTTGGATACGAATTATAAAGCACTCTATCCATACTTCTTAGTTTCGACCTAGTCCTGGAGGCGGGTTGGATTGTATATATAGATGATATGTCCAGTACATGCGCCCGACAACAGAGCGGTTCTCTCATTTTCTCTCCCTTTTTCTGGAGGTGGTTCCGCTTTTTCAATCACAATTTGCTAGGAACCCAAACCGGCTTCCTCTTCTGCGCAAAAGCAGCCAGTCCTTCCCTGGAGTTCTCGCCCTCCACCAAGGCCTTTTTATACCGCTCCTCGACCAACTGGTACGCGCGCTCGACACTGGCCGTCTCCCACGTTTCGCGGAGTGCGGCGCGCGTGACTACAATGGCATCGGGACTGATGTCGGCTACTTTTTTCGCTAGTTCCACAGCCTCGTCGACACACGACTCGCGGGATTTCGAGATCTTGTTGATCAGCTGGTACTGGAGGGCCTCAGAGGCCGAGAGCGTGCGGCCGGACATGCTGATTTCCGAGGCCAGCGGGAGCCCGACGTTGCGCACGAGTCGGGGAAGGCCGCCGGCGCCGGCGTAGATGCCGCGCAGGGTTTCGGGGAGGCCGAATGTTGCCGTGGGAGAGGCGACTGTCATGTCGCTGTAGACAAGAAGTAGTTGGTTAGAGAATCCTGTTTGATGGGGCCTGACTGTAGTGGGAAGAGAGGGTTGTGGAGTAGTGGTGGTGGTGAAATGTAGCAAGACATGATCATCTGAGATCTTCAAAGCCCTCGAGCAGATGGAAAGGAGGACAATAGACTTGAGACAAGCGACAATGCACTCCGCTCCACGAGCAGAGGGTGAGACCCCCTATGGTGGGCACGTCTGTAGGGACAAGGGGCATAAGAATGAGCAGGCAGAACAACTCCGCGCCTAGCAGCCAAAAGAAGCACTGCACTGACGGAGCAGGGGCCAGACCAATGCACGACAACTTGAAGGGATAGATAACACCCAGGGAAACCACCGACCAAGCAAAGTCAATGCCATCCATGGTGACATGAAATCACGACGAGACGCATCACTTATAAGAAGAGTTAATATCAACTCACCAATTCAAAACAATTTCAAAGCCACCACCCAACGCAAACCCATTAACCGCCGCAATAATCGGCTTCTTGCCGACTCTGCGACTGATCCCACCAAACCCGGAGGTCGGATGCCATCCCAAGTACGGTTTCTCCTCAAGAACCTTGGGGTCGCGTTTCCCCAGCTCGATCAAGTCCTGGCCGGCGCAAAAGGCCTTTGGTCCGGCGCCCGTGATGACCGCCACGCGCAACGTGGGTTCCTTGTCGAACCATTCAAAAACTCGATGGAGGTGCCAGTGGATAGGGTAGGGGATGCTGTTCATTTGTCTCGGGCGGTTGATGGTCACTAGAAGCACGAACGGGGCTGGATAGGACAGAAGGACCGATGGGTCCGAGGGCGGCGGAGGGATTTCGGGCTTGGTGGAAGACATGGTGTTTGTTCTGCCGGTGCTTCGTGAAACTATTGTAAACTGCCGGAAACTGGTAATAATAGTGCGGTCTGATGCCGGGACGGTCAATATATGGTGGTTGATGATGTAGACAACGGAGTCTGAGTCTCAGTAGATGCTGCAAGATGTTGTTTTTCAAGTCTCAAGGACTGTTGATGTCGAGGTTCATATAACCGAGGTCGGGAGGGTAGAATCCGAATCCTAGGTAGGCTTCCGCGCCCTTCAAGTTACCTTTCCACGACCGAGATGTCCGGTGTGCTATTCGTTTGGTTTCTAGGTAGCTCCTCTCCTGCTTCGCAGTCTTAGAGCCCGTGCCTCTGAGAGAAGTGTACCTATTGCTGTAATATGTGATATATTACCCCGGACGTATCCGTGGTGAGCGTGGAATGAGGTGGGGAAGTTTGCTTACAGTTGCACATTGGACCTCGGTTCTTCGCTTGTCCACACCGCGAGCGCCGGAAACGTATTTGTTGCAACGAAGACGGATCTTACGACGCAGATCAAAAAAATTGCAAAAATGGGAACACCAAGAATTCTGCGAAGTGAAGTGTTCGGTGTTTCGACTTCTACTACGTGTGTCTTCTGTGTAAGTCTCTACCATCTAGGGTCGACCACGAGGCTGAAGAACTTTGAGAGTAATGACCGCTTAAGCGCAACAAACATATACTGTTGCACTCTCCCTATTGCACTACCAGGCTACAGCCTGGATCTATCCCCCACCACATGCCGTACTGCCTGATCTACCTTGCGTCGGCGTAGTTCTGAGGAGTGCATCAAGCATCATTGGGGAGCGAACCGCACGATGTGGCCGGTTGGACTCTAATGGAACTCCCACTTGCGCAAGTCTTGTGGCGTCTGTGGCGATGAAAGTCAACACACGCGCTTCACCAATGCCGCTATGTCAGGTACTGCTGGACCACATTGGAGACCATGGCTGTGCTGCCGCTCTGGTAGCGTGGGTCGTCCGATATCGAGATAGGCACCTTACGAAGCCTTATTCTGCTCAAAGTTCGAGCAAGCTGACATAGATTCCCCAGACGAGTCCAGCCAGTCCCCCCACAAGCATGCGCTGCTCGACCGGGACAAAGATCAGATTTGCCAGACTGACTAAAGGCCAGAATTTAAAGCCAGCGATAAACATGGGCCAGAAATCCTTTGGGACGTTTCGTCAGCATATCTTCTCAACGGCCAAGAATCCGTCCACAGAAGTCCTTACTTTTTCCACCGCCGTGAGAGCCCGGCTCCAGCCTACACCCCTTAGAAGGTTGATCATGGCAATGAAGAAAATGGTGTTGAGTATAGCTCCCACCGTTTGGTCTAGGACGAACTTTGCGATCGTGTTGCGAACCGACAGCTGTTCTTTGGTCTCACCGTCCTTCTTCTCGTGCGACCTGCTAATATCTTTCTTGTATGTGCTGGGGAACTTCCTCTCCAGAAAGAGCTGCCATTCGTAGTTGGGCGGAGTGGAAATGATGGCCAGGACGACAAATTGCAGGAACGCGGCTGGGTCAAGGGTGGACAGGCTTCGTTTTTGGTAGACAGTGATTCCCTGGGCGAGGATGTTTGAAACTGCCGCAATCGTAGCCCCTTGCACCGTGACTGTTCGGAAAGACATTGGAAACTACGTTCGTGGGTGAGGTAAGTCGAGCACTGGTCGGCTGCAGAGTCAGTCTTTCCAGGTAGGATTTTGAAGGAGGAAAATTTCTAGTCAGTGGAGAAGTGAATGAACGAGGATTGAAGTTCAGGTAACAATGCTATGGGTGAGATTGAACAGCAACTGAAGCAAATGCTGAAGCAGGCGTAGAAAGGGTAACAACTTGAAGAGAGGTTCCATCTTTCCTGCAGTGCCAGTCGCGGTGACTCAATTGCGACACGTGGCATGGTTGGGCAGACAAAGTTTGTGTGCTTGTCATTATAGCGTTGGACATGCATGGATGATACACCATTCTATCAGGCCAGGAGCACATTGTACAATATTGATCAAATGGAGAGAAGGCAGTCTGGTCGAGTTGCAAAGTGTTGTGGCTGATTGTCGTTGTGCTGCATCCTCGCTGTGCCCGCAGTTTGGCCGTGAGCCCGAATCTTGCCTCGAGGGGCCGGAGCGCGTCAAATGTTTCCATGATCGACCGTAGCCTGTACCTGCAGCTGCGAATCCACCACTGCCAGTGACTTCATGCTGACGTGCAAAGGGCTCCTCTCCTCCCCCGGCTGCGCTTCGGCTCCGGCATCGCCCAAGCCAATCAGAGCAGCAGCACATTGCTAGAAACATCGAGATCCGAGAGGCTCGTGACGCTGGGTCCGATGACGTCGTCACGAAACGTGAATACGACCTACTTGGTAGGTACTATACATACTTCGACAAGTCCAATCGACTGCATTTCTCTCTGCCAGATACAACTAACTGAATAAACCATTGAGGGACGTTGCAACTCCATCTTCATTCCACAAACACATCACCAAAACAACACAAGACAAGACAACAACCATCAAAATGCCTCGAGGAGCAGAGTACGACAACGGTGTCCCACAGTCCGACAACGCCGTGGAGGCCGGCCACAACATTGTCCACGGGGATGGAAAGGTAACACAAGCCAACATGAGAAACAGCACAACAGTATTGCCGAATATTGAGCTAACCCGTCGGTTGCAGCCAACCTCAGAATCCGACGTTTCACGGTCCCACAAGACCGCACCGCTGCCCGAGGGCTTGAAAGAGAGTCATGACGAGACTCACAGCGGGGGTGGAAGCCGGGGACTCCAGGGCCACACCGGCAGCGGAAAGGGCGGCCATGAGCCCAAGAGCGTCGGACAACACAAGGAAGTTCGACAATAAAGAACCCAACACTTGAGTCACGACTGGTCATCGATCGATGTCTTTGGGGGTCGCCAGTCGGGCTGTAACATATGGCGGTTCATATGGCATTGATGTCAACATGCCTGAGCATGCCTTTTGAACAAGGATACTCAGAGGGGCCTTGGATGTATGTGTATACACACCACCTGCCCACTCCGTCTCCATCATGAACCTCCGAAACGAGGTGAAGAGATGGAGACTATTTTCGGCACAGCTGTCGCAAATCGGAATGAAAGATAATTTGAAACAACAGACCAGAATACTAGTACTGTACCCGACAAGATGTTGCTGTAGAGAACAACTAAGTGAGCACCTGAGACATGACCCCTTTCCCCTGGCCCTCAATGGTCGCGATGCGGGTTCGTGATCGAGACGGTCGAGACTTCACGAGCTGAGCCCATGGTCAGATCACACGTTGGGCAAGAATACTAATGATGGCTACTACCTGTCGGTATAGGTTCGTAGATCATTGATAGCTTCAAACTCCCTGGCTACAGTGCAGCATGTACAGGTCCCGTCTCTCATGCTGATCCATGCCGTCGTCCACTGCGGATACAACAACTATATGTACACGGAAACTCGCTCGAATACTACAGTTGTAAAATCCATCTTATCGCAAATCCCATGTAGATAGACAAATAACCGAAATGCAGTGCCTCTTCTCTAACGCCTTGCTCCCCTGACCGCTTTGCTTCGCCGCCCTAGCACAAATTCACATATTGCCGGCGTTGCCCAGCGTCCAAAAAAAGGCAACAAAAAAAAAAAAAAAAAAAAGACCGACAAGTGACCGGAACTT